ACAGAAAACTCTCGAAGTCTTAGGTACAATCAATGATGTATCAACGTTGTTCGTAGTTCGAGATACGTAGAAATATCAGACCATAGTGCACATAAGCCGGTATTCTACATCGATATTTCGAGTTATTGGAGTTTGACCTCATTGTAAATAAACATTGCCGTTATAAGAATATTTTCGTTGGCTATTGGAATGCTTACAAATGAAAGGGGCGCGAATGGATAAGTAACTGTATAAGTCGCAACAGTTCAGTTTGTAGAGTTGCGTCCCTTACGAGTCTGAGGATTCGCTCATCGTGGACTCGAATCCAATTTTCGCTCTGATTGTGATCCTTTTGCTAGCACCATACCAGTGTGTGGGGGCTTAATCAAAATTCCGTAAAATAATTGAAATACTGTTTGAAGTAGCGTTCAAGCAACTCGTTCACTTTGTAAAGACTAGATGCTCTATAGCACAGAAGATGGTATTTTATATGACAAAATACCCGTCCCATGTCGTCAACCTTTGTGTAAGTGAGTATGGTTTTACGCCGCTTCTAACAATATTCCAGCAATATCACAGCGGGGGACTCCAGAAATGGGCTTCACACATTGTGCCAATGTCGAGAATCGAACCTGGGTCTTCGGCGTGACGAGCGAACGCTTTACCCACTAGGCTCCCCGACCGCCCGTCAACCTTTGAAGTTGAAACTGATGTATATACCAATCTGGTAATGGGCGAGTTGTTTAACGCCGATTTAACAGTATTCTAGTTATGTAACGGCGTGTCACCTTGGTGTGGGAGGAAAGCCCGAAGTGATGCACGCCTCAGACCTTTACAACACAGGTGAAACCCCCGAGCGTTATCTCGTGGTTATCTCGTGAATATTACTGTATTCATATTTAATAAATGTCAATTTGTTTTTGTGTGGTACAGTCTGAAAACGGGCGATAAAACGGGTTTCAAAAGATATTACGAATGGTTATCGGATGTCCAGAGTTGCGTCCCTTAGTTATGCCAGGATCGCTGGTTGTTAGTTTGTTCCCAGGTTGTCCATTATTATCACTCATTCGCGGGGTCAAGTTTTTTAATTGCTCTTCTGCTTATAGATATTAGTCTACATAATTTATATGTATATTTCTATAGCCTACCAGTATGTGAGCTAAATATACATACTTATCTCGTCTCGTTCATATATAAGGTAGATAATATTCAGACTTTGTTCTCTGTTCAAGGTTATACACCAATAACAACGTCAATTCCAAAATTGATTTTTCGCTTTAAGGTGTTGGAACTGTTTTGAATAATATATGCCAAAAGACCAACAGAGAGAAATCCGAACCATTTCTGACCTTAAATGAAGATTGCCAGTCTAAATAATGTAAACATTAATCACCAATAGTCGACTTGTGGTCACGTTAATCACCACGCTCATGCACGGAAAGCGTCAAATAGGGCAAAGCTGTAAATAGTACTAACAACTCACCTGTAATGGCGACGTGATACGAAGCAGTATTAAAAGGTTATCAATGAGAACAGAAGGGTGAAATACACATAATGCTTATTCTTCGTGAAGAAACACAAGTAATTCCATATCTGGAAATTTTTATATTTCAAATAAATTATATTAGTTGGGGGGTATCCTAACAGCTCATCTGCAGTACTCATCATATATCCGGTTCTTGAATATTTACCCTTGTATCTGAACAGTACAATTGTACTCTCGCCACCACATACCCGTGTACATATATTATTATATTCAACTATTGATATAATATTCCCATATACCTGAACAGTAGTATTCTCATTTGCGTCACGATATATCCATGTACATATATTATTTTATTCAACTCTCAATAACAGTATTCTACTCTCTTCAAGATATATCCATGTACATATGTTATTGTATTCAAATCAAGCTATGATATACCCGTAAATATATTTTGCAGTATTCAACTCTCATCATGATAAACCCTTGTGTGTAGATTGTTGTATTCAAATCTAGCCATGATATATCCACGAACGTATTGTGTGGTATTCAAATCTAGCCATGATATATCCACGAACGTATTGTGTGGTATTCAACTCTTGCCATGATATACAAACATATCTTGTCATTGTTTTTCCCCACCCGACGAATCTCTCCACGTGCCCAGCCCCAGTCATGCACGGCTCAGACAATCGATAGGTGCTGTCGTACCGCAGAGGACCACGTATACAATGGCGGCTGCTGACGTCAGGAGTTCCCATAGTGATTGGAGGACTAAGTTCACGGATGTACCGTCTAAGAAGATAATAGCTTGTTTTGTTCATAGATATGTCTTGTCATGCCCGAATGCAGCAACAAGCTGGATACGCCATGCATAACAGTAACAATATATAAGGGAGAATTTAGGGATGCCAACTTCTTTATTATGAGGAACACAACGTTTCGGAGTATATACTTCATCAGGTGAATAAATGCTGTGAAGCAGAGAACATGTAATATAACATTCATTCACCTGATGAAGGAGTAAGTATTTACTCTGAAATGTGTTCCTCATAATCAAGCAGTCGACATTCATAAATTCTCTTCCTTGTGTGTTTCAAATCTAAATGTTTTGTTTGTTTGTTTATTTGTTGTTTAACGCCGCACTCAGAAATATTCCAGCTATATGACGTCGGCCTGTAAATAATCGAGTCTGGATCGGACAATCCAGTGATTGACAACATGAGCATCGATCCACGCAATTGGGATACGATGACACGCATCAACCAAGTCAGCGAGCCTGACCACCCGATCCCGTTAGTCGCCTCTTACGACAAGCATAGCCGCCTTTTACGGCAAGCATGGATTGCTGAAGACCTATTCTACCCCGGATCTTCACGGTCAAATCGAAATGTTATCCAAAGGAACAATATAGCTTGTTTTGAAATAATTACGTTAATGATAAGGAAATCGTTTAAGTAGGGGGAACGATATTATACCACGATATTCTCAGCCACGTTCAACGGGCGCCACATTATAAGAAGACAGTAATATACACTGAATTTCTTCTGAAATACCGTAGCTTCAGTAATTTACATTGATTTACCCCTGAAATGCCGTCGCACCAGCAAAATATATTGATTTACCGTTAAACCAGCAACTCACATTCATTTACCACTGAAATACCGTCGCATCAGCAATACTCATTGGTTTATCCCTGAAATACTATCGCATCAGCAAAAGACATTGGTTTATCCCTGAAATACTATCGTATCAGCAATAGACATTGATTTATCCCTGAAATACTATCGCATCAGCAATAAACATTGATTTATCCCTGAATTACTATCGCATCAGCAAATACACATTGATTTATCCCTGAAATACTACCGCATCAGCAATAGACATTGATTTACCTCTGAAATACCGTCGCATCAGCAATACTCATTGATATATCCCTGAAATGCTATCGCATCAGCAATACACATTGATTTACCTCTGAAATACCGTCGCATCAGCAATACTCACTGATTTACCCCGGAATGTCATCGAAACGTACCAAGCAATCAAGGGCGTTAGAAATAAATGCTGGTGAAAGCACAGGCCTAGGTGAGCAGGGTTCCGAGACACCCATATCTGATGTGTATCAATGCTCATTCCGGGTATCATATGACAATCCACAAGGTCATACTGCCAGTATCACTTAATACTGACCGAGCCACTCAAATGTTCATGTTTATTTTCTTTATGCACATATATTTCTGTTTGACACTATTTATTAGATGCTAGAACATATCGTACAGGAATAAATATATCTATCTGCAATATACTAGTATTTCTCTCCTCGCCGCTCGAAAGAAGCCAGTTTCTCGTGTATCCAGTGATAACCATACATCTATAATGTAGTCTTCAACTCTTGACATTATACATCCATGCATTTATACATTAGTTTTCGGACCTCGCTATGATATATCCATATGTCTATACTAGAGACACAGGTAAAGACATCTTTCTGACAGGAGCGAAAGTATCAATGATGATGGTCATGGCAACAAAGAATGTCGCAAATGCGAGAAATGCGGCGAAGTTTATAAATGAGAGAGAGAGAGAGAGAGAGAGAGAGTGAATGTATCTTACCGATATGTTTTAATATGACATTGTTAAATAATTCAAACAAGTACAACATTGATAGAAAGCAGCTGTTCGATTGAGTTGAGGTTAGCTTGCGCTGTAACATGACTTGACTCAGAAAAAGCACGCGGCTTTTTGCTTTGAAGCGGGGTATAAAGGCTTTTATTCTGCCTATCAGAATCCTCGTGCAACCTGACTTGCACGCGGCGGGGTATACGAGATTTATTCCCCCGCTGAGAAATGTATTCCCCTCAAAGGTGGGGCACACAGTGTTTTATCAAGATCACGTGGACCAGTCAGATCTCATCTTTCTGACATGCTGACTTGGAGGTATGATAATGCCATTTTTCTGTCAGTGGGCTTTCGAACCAAATTGTTAATTACATTATCAATCATTAGACAGTTGGCGACACGAGATGTCTCGACAATGTTTAACCAAAGCCCGGTGCCACACACTGCCCTGTTTTCGCAAAAAAAAATTAAAAGTCATAATATTTTTTTTTTTAAACAAGACACTGTGGCTCGACTTCATATACAATTAAACCTCGTTAGTCCGTAAACCTCACATTCTAGACGAGCTTGCTATTGCGCACCGTGATTCGTTAATACGGAATGTATTGATTTGAAATAGTTTACTAGGAATCATATAATCTGGATTAATGAGGTTATTGTCACCAGACTGAACAGACACATAAGGCAGTTGTAATCATCAGTATTTTATTATACATGGAATTTAGTCTTCACAAGAATGTTTTTTAATCAGAATAAGTAAGCATCACCATGATGTTCCTGACAATAACAGAAAGTACAGATCTATATCACAGAACCGAACTAACTGTATGCGAAAGCGTATTAGTCTTAAGTCCCAGAGTATGTGAATAATTTTGGGTAGTCAAATTAGCTTGTCGGGTTGGTGTCGAAAGGTTTACCAATAATTCTTTTCGCCAACATAAATCTTCCAAACGAACATATTAAACGGGCCCGTGTCTTTAAAATCCATTGTATTCTGAAGGAACTTTGGCACGTTATTGACTGTAAAGTAGAGGTGGCCACTGGTGTCGAAAGCAAAGCTGTCAACCCAGTTCATGAGCGCTTCATCCTTTACCACCTGGGTCTGTGTTGTCAGGGTAACGTCGTCAACAGATGCTGCAATGGCCATGTCCTTGGTGAAATCCCATTTATAGACAGCATTCTTATTCAACGCTCCGTAAAACAAACTTTTACTGCCAGCCATCATGCCACCCGTCTGGGAAACTTTGTCTCCTAGGTTTTTCACAGATCTGCTAATGTCACCATTTTCTTGCGCAAGCACTGACGTGGGGACACGATAGAGTTTCATTGACGCCAAGGGGCAGTAGTAGAGGTACCGGGAGTCGGGTGAAAGAGCAATGCCATTTATCGCTGTTTTTGACACAAATTTCGTGTTGTCAAAATCGATTATGGTAGCTGGGCCGCTCTCTGCTGCCATGCTCTTGTGTGCAAATGTGTACGATTTGTCCTTTCTGAAATCATAAACGACAAGTTTGGCTGTTCCAGTATCGGTGATGTAAGCATAAGCAGGCTTTCCTGAAATTTTATGGACCACGATGTCGTTCAGGTACGTCCGCATCTTTGGCGCGACGGCTTCAGGAAAAGTATGGACTCGGATGACCTTCTTAGCGTTAATATCGTAGATAACTAGTTTAGCGGGACACAAGAACTGCCCAGGGTCGGCGATTATATGTAAGCCAGTGTCAATAATCCACATCCATCCAGTTGACTGATCAATCTCAAAACTCTGGGCGAACTGGATAGCTGAGCAGTCACCCACTGTCTGCATGGACCAACTGGGGAAGGGTCTAAGGATTGCCTCCCCATTCTTCTCCACTATCACATTCACAGCAGAAGGAACGCCTTTCTTCGTACGAGGAACCGTCACGTACACACTTTCATTGTAGATCTTTATGCCAGAGAGGAGGTTATTTTTTATGATGAAACTTCCGTTTTTGATGGATGCTTGTTTGACTGAAGTGCTTGGCCATTCATAGTCTATAGCATGCCACTTATACACAATGGCGGAATCCACCAACTGGTGGCCAAGGATGGTGATCAGGAGAATTGTAAAGGCCGACATGTTCAGAGTCGTCAACCGGAGAGTCTGGGTTGGTCGCAGTCGTAAGCTGGACTGTCTGGTCTGCTCACGGTCGTAAGCTATATACTCCGGGGTTGTGTCATCTGCTGTAGGTCCACACCTTAGCTAGTAGCTGCGCAATGACACAAACTATTTTCAGCACCATTGTCGCAGCATTGTCTTATCTCCAGGTGCTAAGAACTAGCATAGTGTCGTGTTGATTGCATTCAGCTTAGAATTGTAAAGTCATCCTGATGCAATTATGCAACTATTTAACATAAAAGAATCATAAAAATACAAAAGATAACAGGTTAAATTGACACAGAGGATTGGCAAAACTTAAAACATATTACATAGTCATGCAAAGTACATATTTAGACCCCAAAAGAGTCATATGTCTAAAAGTCTAAAAGGCATCAAACAACTGCCCTGATCCCACCACCATCTCGTATGTCAGCCGAAATGACAGACTTGGAGGCCCCGCAGCCCAGAATACAATCTTACACACATTGCCAATGGCATGTGGTTTATAAATTGTAAATGTATACTTATCATGAATTCTGTGAAGTCACATTGCATTAATCATGAAATTTACAATTGGATCGCCTTTAAAAAGTATATCTTGATGACACTGGGTATAACATAACGGGACATTAAGCTACAAACCCATAGGATTCTGCCCTGATGAAAATCTTCGATACTATGTCTATATCATGAATGTACATCAACCATGGAATTTCATTCATATCATTAATTTCCTTTAAATGAAAATGGCTAAACCTTTCAAAAGTTTTTCTATTTCTGGTTGGCATCAAATCTATCAGCTTCTGTCTTGATGGATAACGATGATAGTATATCGGTAACAACATAGTTCTGCTTGGCCTGCAGTAGTGACAAACCAGGAAAAAATGGTATTCATTTTCGATTTCCATCAAGTTACATTTATCACAAATTAGACATCTCAAATCATATACTGTTTTACTCTAACGTCGCATTTGTATTTTCAAACAATGTGATAGACACCGAAACTTAGCAAGAATTCTCATAAGATCTGTGTTAAATGTGATGTTATATATTATGCAGGCTCGAGAAATACAGAAGTATTTATCTTTTGATACATCTGCTATACTCATAAAATAAGATTCATCCTCAAACTCCTGGGATATCCAGACGTATGAGAATCCTGTTTGGAATAAAACATTTTAACATGTGACGCCCAGTTTTCTCCTCTATTATCTACATAGGGGGGGGGGGGGGGGGGGCACGGGTGGCCCAGTCGTCTAATATCACGGCGTGTCAGCTTAATGTGGGGGGAAAGCTCGAAGTGATGCAGGTCTCAGACGTTTATCACTTCGGTGAAACCCACGAGCACGGGTATGGTGCTGACAAACCTAGAAACCCGGGGCAAAGCGGGATTCGGACTCACAATCATAGGTTTCTGGCGTGCAACTCTGCACAGCGAATCGCGGCGCCTTAGACGACTCGTATTTTTCTAAATTTAACTCTTTATTCCTCTTTTGACAAAAACATTCTTATGCCAATAGCTTTTTTTGTAGGTCAACAACTGATATCTGACACCAAATCAGTATCATCTGCAAACAACAACATCTTGATGACATCAATCATATCAGTTACAAAGATATCATTCGGTTCACTTACCATCACATCAGTAGCCAACTGGTAAATGAAAAATATGAAAAGTAAACGACTAAGCATACAACCCCATGACGTTGAAAAGATACCACTTCTCGAATTTCCTAAGTGTACACAAGCACAACCATTTCTGTACATGCTTTCTAAAACATTATACATTTTACCATGAAAACCCTTCTGTAATAACATATACAATAACTTATTCCTATCAACCTTATCAAAGGCTTTACGGAAATCAAAGGAAAGCTGCATAAAAGGGTTTAGGCTTACGTAAGTATTTCTGAGATGTTATCTATCGTAGACCCTTTCTATCAATTCATTTAATTCTAATCAATATCACAGTCTCGACCCATGATCAACTATTGATGTAAATACTTTCCCCATGATATTAAGTAAAGACATTCCACTGTAATTATTTGGGTCACTCCTATTACCTTTTTCAAATAAAGTTGCAAATTATTCCAATATTCCAATGATCAGGGAATACAGGCTGATCTACATAGTGGGTGTTTCATAATTTTGAAAAACATTGATAAACCATCCATATCCGGAGATTTTCCAGACTTTGAGAAATTGGCAGCTACTTTAATTTCTTCTTCTGTAATTTCCCCTGATAACAATTCATGCGAGTTGTTGCACTCAAATCAAGTGTCTAAATCATGATCTTTTAAAATTCCGCTACTTTTATTCAAATTTAATACACTCTACAAACTAAAGATTTAATAATTCTCAAAATATAAATAACAGCTGTTAAGGGATATAGTGTTGTCACTTTCACTATTTTACACAACAGCACAATTTATCTTTTCACTTTCTAATTTATGAAATATGTTCTGTCCAGTTACACATGTTCTTCGGAAATCTCCTGCAGATAATTATTCAAGGTTTCAGAACTTTTCCCATCTGTACCATACCCAAGGCTCGTTCACGTTGTTCGACTGTGAGTCGTGGCATTTCTTTTGTGCTTTTTTTATCACTGTGGATGTCTGACTAGCCGTTGCAATCGTTTTATACCCTTACCCGCACGTGCATTTGCAGTTGTCCGTGGTGCACGTGTTTTTCACTTTTTCGCGTGTTATCTCGCAAACATGTAACAGACGATTAACATTTTCTGCATAAACTATTGTTGTATTTAGGTTATGTGTTTTAGATAGACTTCATCGAAAAAAATGTATGCTTTGTCTGAAATATATATTTTCAGTTGGTAAAGTTTCTTTTGGACGTCAGTTTATAAAGAAACAGGATAACTGATATAAATGAAAATGTGTTAGCCATAGATTTACACCAACATGTATCTTTTCATTCTCTCTCTCTCTCTCTCTCTCTCTCTCTCTCTCTCTCTTCTTCTTCTTCTTCTTCTTCTTCTTCTTCTTCTCTCTCTCCTCTCTCTCTTTCTCTCCCTCTCTCTCTCCCTCTCTCTCTCTCTCTCTCTCTCTCTCTCTGATCTATGGTAGTCCATGTTAGAATGATGGATGTTCTGAACAAGACTTGTAGAGTGCATTTTTCAAGCAAAGTGCCAGCCACTAATATCCCTCTATTGATCAATAAAGTACATAACACTACAACTGTTTAAACGACAGTATTAACTATCTTCCTGTAAGGTCTAGTTTCCACCCTTGCCGAACAAGGCTTGAATTTCTGGTTTCGATCGTAGCGCCACCAGTGGCTATATCAGATTCCACCTCTCATATGCTTCAAATGATATGGCGTCGCCCAGTGAAAACGATTTCATCGATAATCAAGCTCTACATTGTACTAAAACGGGTTTTTCTTCGCGAAGTGCATCAAATGACTTGAGCCCCTGGATTGAAAAGACAACATGAAAAGATTTGGAAAATATCTGTTGACGCTAAGTTGTCAGTATAAATGCTTTGCAAATCCTGCAATTGACCGAAATCTGCACGGTAGTTTACGAACCGGAATGTCGAATTCGTTACGCGATTTTGATTGGACTATGCATATACTCATTAGTCCAGCCAAAATATAACTCCATAGTTCCATCCTAGTTCGGCAATGGTGGAAACTGGACTTTTATAGTCAGTTAACTCCCTTGCCTCGGGAAGATGATTTATAAAGTACATCACCTTTAAATGGTTTAGTTGCATACAACAAATTCAACTCAGATTAATACTGAATTTCAAGGCACCATAATTTGCTAGGATCTGTTCAATCCCAAATAGAATAAACTTCGTTTAAAATTCGATCGTGAGTTCGAATCCCAGAACATCTCGAGGCGAACCGGGATTCCTACTCACTCTGCACAGCGAGTTTCGGCGCCTTAGACGACTGGACCAACTCTAATCCTCAGTATTTCATTATTAAAATTATTTAGTCTTCACAATGATGTATCGTTTATGAATCAGAATAAGTAAGTATCGCCAATGTTTTAAGTTTATTAAATAGGTTTTATAACAGTGCTATCGGGAAGAGAATGTTCATATGTATATTACGAAGCGAAAACTAACTGAAGTTTGTGAGTCATATGTCCCAAAACACATGAATAGTTTGGGGTTAAAAGAATTCATCTTGATGTCAGTTTGATGCGGAAAGGTTTATAAATAATTCCTTTCGTCAACATAAATCTTCCAAATGAACATATTAAAGGGCGCCGTGACATTAAAATCCATTGTATTCTGAAGGAAACTTGGCAGTTTGTTTACTGTAAACCAGAGGTAGCCATTGGTGTCCAAAGCTAAGCTGTCAACCCATTGCATGTACGAGTCATCCTTTGCCACTAGAGGTTGTGTTGTCAGGGTAACGTCGTCAACAGATGCCGCCATGGCTATGTCTTTGGTGAAATCCCATTTGTAGACAGCATTCAAACCCAACGCCCCGTAAAATAAACTTTTACTTCCAACTATCATGCCTCCCGTCTGGGAAACTTTGCTTCCAAGGTCTTTTACAGATCTGCTGATGTCGCCATTTTCTTGTGCAAGCACTGACGTGGGAACACGGTAAAGTTTCATTGATGCCAAGGAACAATAGTAAAGATACCGGGAGTCGGGTGAAAGACCAATGCCATCTATCGGTATGTCTGTCTTAAATTGAGTGTGGTCAAAATCGATTATGGCAGCTGGGCCACTCTCGGCTGCCATGCTCTTGTGTGCAAATGTGTACGATTTGTCCTTTAGGAAATCATAAACAACTAGTCTGGCTGTTCCTGCATCCGTGATGTAAGCATAAGCAGGTTTTCCTGAAATTTTATGAACCACGATGTCGTCCAGGAACGTCAGCATCTTTGGAGCGACGGTTTCAGGAAAATGATGAACTCGAATAACCTTGTCCGTGTTTATATCGTAGATAACTAGCTTAGGGGGACATATGAACTGCCCCGGTTCGGCGATTGAGTGTAAACCAGTGTCAATAATCCACATCCATCCAGTTGAAGGATCAATCTCAAGACTCTGAGAGTACTGGATAGCTGAGCAGTCACCCACTGTCTGCATGGACCAACTGGGGAAGGGTCTAAGGATTGCCTCCCCATCCTTCTCCACTACTACATTGAGAGTAGACGGAACTCCTTTCCTCCATCGAGGAACCGTCACGTACACACTTTCATTGTAAATCTTAATGCCTGCGATGATGTTGTTTGTGAGGATGAAACTTCCATTTTTGATGAATTCCTGTTTGACTGAAGTGTTTGGCCATTCATAGTCTACAGCATGCCACTTATACACAATGGCGGAATCCACCAACCTGTTTCCAAGATGTGCGATCAGGAGGATTATAAATGCAGACATGCTTACAGTCATAAACTGGACAGTCTTGGTTGATCACAGTTGTGAGCTTTATGGTCTGGTTTGGTGCCACTTGCTGTGGGTCCACACCTTAGCTAGCAGTTGCGGGTTGCGCAGTGATATAAGCTATTTTCAGTCGCAACATTGTCTTATCTCCAGGAGCATGAGAACGAACATCTTGTCGTCTCAAACTTGTAACGTCATCATGATAAAGTTATGTAGCTATTTAACATGATAAAAATCTTTAAAGAATACAAAAGATAACAGATTAATATTGACACAGAGGATTGGCAAAACTTTTTAAAACAAGTTAAATAGTCATACAAAGTACACATTTAGACACACACCATGATATGTTATTTCAAAGCAACAAACAACTGCCCTGATCTCACCACCAGCTCGTATGTATATCGTAATCCTAGTTTCAGGCCAAGCGGTAGCTGTGACGTCACAGTGGAGCGTCATCGCCATTTCCCTTTGTTTACAGTGCATTAATTTAAGTACATGACAAGGAAGTGATTTTCCTTTCACAGCGTATTTTGACGCGAAATGGGATACTGTGTTTCAATAGGGAAGCTCATTTCTTCAAATCTCCAAACGAAAAAGCCGATTTATTGAGGAAGAAAGTTTTGATACACTGATGTCAGAGTGGACAAAAGAAATGGGAATTGACTGGATATGCCGCAAAGTAGTCCTTGCATTTTGAAGGGTCTATCTATGAGAGGGCTCCAGAAAAACCAAAAGAACTTGGTTACGAAACTAGATTCTCCATTCGTTGTTAAAAATAATCGATGACTTACTATCATCGTACAACATTTACAAAGGACCATGCAATTTGATCAGATAACATGCAAGGGCAATATATACCCTCGTCAAAGTATAGCATCACCAAATATAAAGTTTCATTTACAATGTAGAGATTTGTCACAAGGTGCATCTGCTTGAAGAATGGTAGCCACCGTAACTGCCTAAACTTCTGGGTGCGTGTATGTGAGCCGTATGCCTGTTTGTCTGTTTGTTGTTTTATGCCGCACTCAGCAATATTCCAGCTATATGAGGGTGGTCTCTAAATTATCGAGTCTGGACCATACAATCCAGTGATTGATATCATGACCACCTGATACCGTTATTTGCCTCTTAAGACAAACATAGTTAGGTATGCGCACCTGGGGGTTCTCATTAGAGAAATTCGTGTTTGATGACAGATTCACACCACTGATGGTAGAAGAACTCATGTCTGGAGGCAAAGAGGAACATCTCATCATCAGTGCAACATCCAGGAAACAGTGGCGTGTGCATGTGGTGGCGGCTCAGTGATGGTATGGGGATGTTGCTCTTTTGATTGTAAACTTGATTTGGTTACAGTTCTGGGACATTTAGTGGACAAAGGTACCAAGATAACACATTGGACGGTTTTGTTGTGCCTCATTTTGATTACCATGCACTTGTCACACATCCTGTCTTCATAGATGATAATGACCGACCCAAACCAGCACGAGCACGAGCTGTGACTGACCATCTCCACAACAATCCATGGCCTCTGCCGTGGCCTTCCTGAAGCCAAGACCCGAATCCAGTCGAGCATCTCTATGCGATCAGTTGGGACGTTGGGTGAGCAAGGGACCAAGGTATTGTATCAGGAATGGCAACACTTTCCTCAGTTGAGGATCAGGCATCTGATGTTGAGCATGAGGAGATGTCTTGTGGGTGTGACCCGTGTACGGGGTGGATGCACCAGACACTGACTTAAACTAGTGATCATTTAGGAAACAAACCTACTGTGTTTTGAAATTTGATGTAGTACCACTGTAGAGTAGATACCTCTTTAGTAGATACCGAGCGCTTAGCAAGAGGTTCCAAATTACAATAAAGAGGTATCTACTCTTCAGTGGGACTACATCAAATTTCAAATCACAGTAGGTTTATCTCCATTCTACCATGACGGCAACAATGCTTTGAAAACGGTGCTCTCTTGCAACGCGTAACAACACAGGCACACAGGTCCGCAATTATAGAACATTGCGAAAAGTGGGCACAGGTAGTTATATATGTAACAATTATTATCAAAGTTCAAGATTAAAAACACCATAGTCGTGAGTAGTTCAAAATAAGTGTTCAAAACACATAGTTTTTCAAAAGAAGTTGACAAATAACACTCCAAAATTAGTCCAAAGACAGCTGTTTTAGTTTCTACCAACCTTCTCTGTACACTGTTGTACACTGTGGACTGACGGTTTTAAAATACTAAACGAATATCTTTTACAACAAACTTTTTGAATTAACATTCTCCTATACATTTAACATGTGTAAGTGTTATTAGTTAGTTAGCAATTACCCCCAGTAAACAACATTAACATCAAAATAAATGCCTCTCCACCCCGACCTTGGATGTGGCAGAACTTGACCCTACATCACGTTTACTCACACCTCGCAGCTGTCAATGGCTGACAATCTTGTGCTTACATTCTCCGTTGCTAGTTAAATGAAGCAAGATGACAACCCCGATCTATGATATGGTTCAACATTAACCTGTAGATTTACTGGGAATGATCGAGCCTGCTGGTACAATGTGATTACCAATGGAAATGAGTATGTCTGAACAGCCGCTTTTTAGCCTGCAGACGAGCCGGATATTTTGACACGAGGTAGGTACTATCTCTGTATCTGCATGGTGTGACCTGTCAATTTCAAGATTTCATAGATCCAAAGCCAGATAGTGACAGACCTTAGATATTAGTTGCCCAGAAATAGTGGTTCATGTATGATTTTCTTAATTGTGCGTGTTCTGAAATGAATTTCATCAAGTTTGATAAGCTAACACTTCAGTTGGGACATTGTTTTCGTGGACGTTCGAAGGGGAGTGTTTTCTGATGGACTCTCAAATCCCCTCCTGCCAAAATCTAACGGTGGTGGTTGATGGAGATTGCAACATTTGTTGCAAACAACATGTTGTCATGAATAAAATTTCTTCAAACAATTTGTATAATGTTATATTTTACTTTCATTATCAGTTGTTTCAATGAGGAAATAGCTAAAATTGTTCCGATTCTGGTCACCATAGAACTTTTCCCAAACAGTTTCATGAACATTTCATTTATATGCAAAAGATATGCTACATATCTTACCTGATTATCAAAAAATGGTGGTGGTACGATACTTTTGACGAGGTGTATATTTGGCTCAGTTTCAGTGTACATAAATTCACATACTCTGTTCATGGTCTTGCATACTTGAAACGCTTGTGTGTGTCTGATTCTGCAGGAAAGGCCTCTCTTATTATATTCGCAAAACATGCAGGATGAACGTTTCCACATTTTAAGGAAGTCTTTGGTAAAATAGACTTAGCATTGAAAATCTTCTGTACACTTAGTGGAATAAGGTTCTCTGAAATCTTCAAAGTGAGGAACAGCTAACTACAAGCCGGCCCCCCCGACATTGATGAATAATTAAAACAAATTTTCATAATTTACAAATCAAGTGGGTTTTTTTATATGAAGCAGAAACAGTATATTCTAACTGGATTCAAATTTGACATTATAAGAAATATCTTTAAAGAGCTATAAGTGTGTTCATAAACCTGCAGGTGCAATGTACATCATGTTACTGCCCAGTACTTCAAATGGTGCACGTGGTCTTCTGGTGACATTCATGTAGATGCGAGAAGTTCAGTTAAAACAAACTGTATAGGAATAGTTTCATATTCGTTTTCCTTTCATGTATATACCATAGTCACCCCTATTTCTTCTCACTTTGATGGTAGGGTTTGGGGTAAAACGAACCATCTTGTCGTCAGTTTGATGTCGAATGGTTTATAAATAACTCTTTTCATCAACATAAATCTTCCAAATGAACATATTGAAGGGCGCCGTGGCATTAAAATCCATTGTATTCTGAAGGAAGCTTGGCAGTTTGTTTACTGTAAACCAGAGGTAACCATTAGTGTCGAAAGCAAAGCTGTCAACCCATTGCATGTTCAAGTCATCCTTTGCCACCACAGTCTGTGTTGTCAGGGTAACGTCGTCAACAGATGCTGCCATGGCCATGTCCTTGGTGAAGTCCCAATTAAAGACAGCATTCAAACCCAACGCTCCGTAAAACAAACTTTTATTTCCAGATATCATGCCTCCCGTCTGGGAAACTTTGCTTCCAAGGTCTTTCACAGATCTGCTGATGTCGCCATTTTCTTGTGCAAGCACTGATGTGGGAACACGGTAAAGTTTCATTGATGCCAAGGAACAATAGTAAAGATACCGTGTGTCGGGAGAAAGAGCAATGCCATCTATCGGAATATCTGTCTTAAACTGCGTGTGGTCAAAGTCGATCATACTCGGTGGACCACTCTCGGCTGCCATGCTCTTGTGTGCAAATGCATACGATTTGTCCTTTAGGAAATCATAAACAACTAGTCTGGCTGTTCCTGCATCCGTGATGTAAGCATAAGCAGGTTTTCCTGAAATTTTATGAACCACGATGTCATTCAGGAACGTCAGCATCTTTGGCACGACGACTTCAGGAAAATGATGAACTCGAATAACCTTGTCCGTGTTTATATCGTAGATAACTAGCTTAGGGGGACATATGAACTGCCCCGGGTCGGCGATTGAGTGTAAGCCAGTGTCAATAATCCACATCCATCCAGTTGAAGGATCAATCTCAAGACTCTGAGAGTACTGGATAGCTGAGCAGTCACCCACTGTCTGCATGGACCAACTGGGGAAGGGTCTAAGGATTGCCTCCCCATCCTTCTCCACTACTACATTGAGAGTAGACGGAACTCCTTTCCTCCATCGAGGAACCGTCACGTACACACTTTCATTGTAAATCTTAATGCCTGAGATTAGATTATTTGTGATGATGAAACTTCCATTTTTGATGAATTCCTGTTTGACTGAAGTGTTTGGCCATTCATAGTCTACAGCATGCCACTTATACACAATGGCGGAATCCACCAACCTGTTTCCAAGAAGTGCGATCAGGAGGATTTTTAATGCACACATGCTCACGGTCATATGCTGGACTGTCTTGGTTGGTCACACTCGCAGACTGGGTTGGTGCCATCTGCTGTGAGCCCATATCTTATCTATTAGCTGCTGATTGTTATTCTGAAATAAACTATACACAAAGAAATAAGTTAAGCACCACTGGAAATATTAACACTGAACTATCCCTAATCGCAACAACAGTAAATTTCGTGATGAATAAGTTAAGAATAGTGTTCCGTGGAACAGTCTAATGGCAATTATGACGTCACGTCGCAGCACGACATGCACGTGCAGGATGCCACCCATGCATTTTTCAAAACGCAGTATCTGAACATCGCAATTGTGAGAACTTACTGTCTTGCATTGTTGAAGCATTCTGTGAACATGGCACGAAGAAGGTTATCAGAGGTGCACAGGTGGCGTATGGCATGACAGGCATGACCTTCAAAAGCATAGGACGTCAACTAGGGTATCATTACACCGTAATAAGCAGACTGGTCTGGTACGAAACACGGGCAAACCAATGCGGTACAGGATCTCCCACGATCAAAAATACGTCAAATGAGGGTTTACCCGCGATTGATTATTTGTGTCAAGAATGTCATCTTTGGACAGAAAATTACATTTTTCATCATCCATGTGATGTGGAATTGTGTTCCTGAGTCTGCACCTCCATACTTATTGTGGTTAACGTTTTTGCACAAATACAGTTTTTGTTAGAATTATGATTAAAATCTTAAAACAGGATAAACTTTTTATGTTTTCTTATTGTCAGGAGTGTCTTCTTCCAAACCACATTAATTTTTCCCAGGTCATGTTAACAGGGTTTCAACATCAACGCTTGTACGACTGACCCATTATTGTAAAACATACATGTGGTGCTTAACATTTTTCGTTGTGTATATTTTCAGTACCATTTTCGAAATGTTGTTTTATCCCCAGGGGTATGAGACTAACACTGTGTGGTGTTGATTGCCTCAAATTTAGAATTCTAAAAACATCACGATAAAAGTATCTATGAACTCATCATACAAAAAGACAGGGGTGGATGTTTGCTTGGATCAAATTAATCACAAACACACGAAGCCTCAATTATAACTCGATCGTGGGTTCGAATCCCAGAATTGCCCTGATTACGATTCTCTGTTTGTCAGAACGATATTCGTATTCGTTGGTTCCACCGAAGTGATAAACCTCTACGACCTGCATCACTTCGTGAATTCCTCCCACCCTAAGCTGACACACCGTAAAGTAACTTAACTACTGTTCAAAGTGGTCTCATACCAAATTCAATCTCTATAAAGAAAGGGAAAATAAACTCAGAGATACTGAAGAGATTGTCACCCTCGTCTTCCATTTGCCTATTTTCAGCTACAAACGTTCAGGGAAAGCCTATTGCTGTACTATATATTACACGTATAATCTAAAGCACCCAAATTGAACTGCATAAATAATTATAGAAAAGAGTCCCTTGGGGCTACTTTTATTGCAGTGATGTCTGTATTGATACATAGTACATGCAAAAGTATTCAATACAAAGTTTCAATTGGTTCCAAGGTACCCATTGTCGTCCAAATATAGTTTCCATATGAACATGTTAGGATTGGAGAAGTTCATCGTTTGAGCAAAGAAGCTTCCAAGATTATTCGCTGTGAACCAGAGTGAACCTTCATTGTCGAAACCAAAGGTGTCGACCCATTTCATCCGCTGGTCATCATGAGCAACCATAACCTGAGAGGTCAAAGTTATGTCATCCGGTCCCCCCGCCATGTTCTGATCCTTCATGAAATTCCATTGGTACACACCGTTTGAACTAAGCGCACTATAATACATGAACTTCTTCCCAAATGCCATACCATCAGACTGAGATTGTTTAACACCGACTTTGTGAACAGATTGCTGGAACGAGCCTTTAGGGTCAGAGAGAACGGTTGTGGGTATTCGGTACAAGCTCGTACCTGCTAAAGCTGAGTAATACACGTACCTGAAGTCAGATGACATGGCAATACCGTCTACAGGAACTGTCTGTGGGTAGGACTTGTTGTCGATATGAACAATAGAAGTTGGTGGAGATTCTGCTGACATACTGCTGTCAGCAAAACTGAACGATTTGTCAGACCGGAAGTCGTAGGTCACTATACGTGCTTGTCTAGCATCACTGATGTACGCAAGGGCAGCTTGACCAGCCACTCGTTGGAGGACGATGTCGTTCAGGAAGGAGGACCTAGCTGCAACATGATCAGGGAAGTAATGGGTGCGGACTACACGTCTACGGTTGATGTCGTAGATGATAAGTTTAGGAGGGCAGATCGTCTCTCCGGCATCAGCAATTCTTCCAATTCCAGTGTCAATGATCCACATCCATCCCGTCAAGGGGTCTATCTCCATGCTCTGGGAGTACTGGATGGCGGTGCAGTCACCTACAGTCTGCATGGACCAGCTGGGGAAGGGTCTGAGGATGTGTTTCCCGTGTTTCTCAGTGACGACATTCAGAGTAGAAGCCACACCTTTCTTCCATCTAGGAACTGTGACGTACACGCTACCGTTGTACACCTTCACGCCGGCGATGAGGTTATTTTCGAGCACAAAACTGCCATTCTTGATAAACTCCTGTTTCACACGGTCACTCGGCCAGTCATACTCTAATGATGTCCATTGGTACACCAGTGATGAATGACCAACTCTTTGACCAAAGGTGTTTACAAGGCACAGACCAAGGATTATCAAGCTGAACATTGTGTATGTATGTAACACAGGATCACACAATGTCTTGCGTCTATGAAATCCTTATCAGCCCGTGTTGAAGGTCAGTGGATCCCGAGAATCGTGTTGTTTTGTCATGTTTCCAGTTTATTATATCGCTTTTTCCCATTCATTGTTATAGCTCCGTTTTGGAGTGAGTGAGTTTGGTTTAACATTATTCCAGTTATATCACGGCGTGAAAGTTAAAATAAGAGCTAAGACCGAAGTGATGCAGCTTTCAGACGCTTAAACCACGACGCTGAACCCCACCAGCCTAGAATCCTAATCGGGGCAAACCAGGATTTTAACCATTTATCATGGGTTTCTGGCGTGTCCAGGGATGCACCTCTGCACAGCGAATTGCGGCGTCTCAGACGACTGGACCACCCTGTACTCCAGCTCCGTCCAGGAAGAGATTGAATATGGTTTTACGCCGCTTTTAGCAATATTCCAGCAATATCACGGCAGAGGACACCGAAATGTGCTTCACACAATGTACCCATGTGGGGAATTGAAACTGGGTCTGAGGTGGGACGAGGCAACGCTTTAACCACCAACCCCCGTCCAGGAAGTGATGTCGCCAGCTCAACCGTATCAGCAGCTTTCCACAGAACTTCTCCCGCAGATGCGTTTCAAATCAACCAATCAAAATGAGTTAGTGGGTTTGGTTTAACACGGCTTTGAACAGTATTTCAGATATAACGCGGTGTGTCAGCGTGATGTGTGAGGAAAGCCAGATGTGATGCAGGTCTCAGACATTTACTACTTCGGTGAAACAAACGAGCACCGATATCGCGCTGACACACTTAAAACCATAATCAGAGAGATAACAATAATGGTTCGTCTTTTGAAATCCGATAGGAATTCCTATCTCACAATGTCTTTCGAAAAGTTGCATCTTCTTGTGATTTGTAAAGTACTTGTAATACATTATTCACCGTTTTGCAAGGAAATTGTTCATCTGGGACAGGAAGCCCCGTGTATCCAACAGATTTTGCGTCCATAATTTTAAATGAACACTGACATTTTGATTATAGCTTAAACAGTCCTTTCGTGAGAAGTGAGAACATTGGCAGGTATGCAGCAGAGCTCACATTTCTAAATGGAGAACACGGTAATGTTCAACACTCTACCTGTGTCTCACATCACAATGTAAATGTCAGCAGAAAGTAAAAAAAAAATTCCTATATGACAAGAAATATATACTGATAGCGGAGTCATTTGCCGCGGTATTAAATGTCCTGGTTTTAGCTTGAACTATCTATTCTAACGTTTTTTGTCGATTCAAGGGTATGATTTCAAACGTCGAAGGCCTTTCCTGACGTCATTTGAATGTTATTCATATAGGTACAAGACGTTATTGTATTTATTTTTAAAATAATTTGAAGAAAGAAATTGTGGTTGACTTAAAACAACTTGAAATAATTATTTTGTAAGAGTTTCATTGTAATTTGGCCTTTGCATATTGTCAAGGAAAATAAATAATACTCATTAAAAAAGTCAGTGTCAGTGAGTATGGTTTTACGCGGCTCTTACCAATATTCCAGTAATATCACGGCGGGGGACACCAGAAATGGGCTTCACACATTGTACCCATGTCGGGAATCGAACCCGGGTCTTCGGCGTGACGAGCGAACGCTCTAACCACTAGGCTACCCCACCACCCCCATTAAAAAAGTCATTAATATACGTTTAATATACGGATATATGGCAACATTCTCTCCCTTCAAGCAGCCACATATAAATGTCTTCACATGCATTATGAAGAAAAGAACACATATGTAATCAAAACAGTTTATTCTAACTTTTGATGTTGTCTTAACAGAAAAATGTATGAAACATAATTTTTAACAAATATATCAATTTCATCATTACAATCTAAATCCGAACTATTTGGTCAACCTTGATGTATATCAAGTTCTATCGATGGTGAACAAGAACACAGTTAAATCTATAACATCTCCAGAGAGTAACACATCCCATCATTCATCAGTTGAACATAGACTGGACATTAACCACTGTGAGAGATGGGATTTTGAAACAATTGCATTACATTCATTTTACAGATCATCTTCAAATGTACAAAACTTAACTTTCAACTGTTTGATGTGGGAAACATCAACACTTCCTACATGCTCTTTTCAAAGGATCAAACACAATATTTTATCAACAGATTGTTTTCTTTAACTCCCTTCAACACATCCTTAAGAATCAAAAACTGAAATCCATAGCATTATGAACATGTTACATGAAAGTTGGTTGGTTGGTTGGTTTGTTGTTATATGCCGCACTCAGGACTATTCCAGCTATATGACGGTGGTCTGTAAATAATAGAGTCTGGACCAGACAATCCAGTGATTGACGTCATGAGCGTCGATCAACGCAATTGGGATATGATGACATGCTTCAACCAAGTCAGCGAGCCTGACCACCCAATCCGGTTAGTCATGAAGGTGGTAAGTGAGGATCGCCACTGCTCTGTCTAGTATTTCAGTTATATCACTGCATAACAGCTTAGTGTAGAGCGAGTTTGTTTTACCCCCCTTTTAGCAATATTCCAGTAATATTGCCGTGGCGAGTCCACAAATGAAATTCACACATTGTACCCATGTGGGGAATGAACCACAGCCTATGGGATGATGAGTGAACACTGCAACCGGAAGTGATGAAGCTCTTGGATGTTTAGCACTGCAGTGAAACCTATGAGAAGAAATATGATGCTGACAAACCACGGAGCATAAAGGCTCAGAATCGGTGAACTCATCCTGTGGCGGCAAAGAGATGTAACTAAGCACAACAAAGTCTGGTAAATTAGAGGGTAGAGAATTGAGGCAAAATTTAAGAAATAAAAGGCGTTTGTTGTGTTCAAAGGTTGATCAAACAAACAAATTTTGATGAAGATAGATTTTTTGTTATCACAGTATGTTTTTCTGAGGTTTTCTGTTTAAAATATGTGCAATATGTCAGATGTGGCCTGGAAACGTGCAATGAACAAGCAATATAAGACTAGTTACACTGGAAGTGATGCTGTTGCTGCTGCTGATGATGATGATGATGATGATGAGTTGAGCGAGTGAGAGAGTATGGTTTAATGCCCTTTTAGCTAAATTCAAGCAATATCACACCAAATATGAGGACACCAAATATGAGCTTCCCACATTGTACCCACGTGGGGAATAAAACACAACATGACAACTTTACGTTTTAACCACTAGGCTACCCAACTGCCCCAATGGGTTATTGAACTAACAGCCAATTCTGTAAGTATTGTGTCAATAGGCCTGGGATTACAAGTGGGATTGAGTGCCATGCTAATAACCCAAACTGTCCTGACTACCTCTACTGTGGATAATGAACCAACCTTAGAGAGCATCCATTTAATTCCATGGGGGCTGGGAAGACTTTTTAAATAAATAGTTTGTTCAGAAATATGCTCAAAATGAATAGTTTGTTCAGAAATATGCCCAAAATAAAAAGTTTGTTGGCAGTGGTGAACAAAATGTTTAGTTGGTATTGTGGATAATACCCAAACGTCAGATTGTTTGATTGTGGTCAGTAAATAAAAGGTGTTTTGGATACAGCTGGCAACACCTCCCCCACCCCAACCCAACCCAACCCAACCCCCAACAAATCAAATGGATGCTCAGTTAACTGGAAACAATTATGATCCATTGTTTTTATTAAGAAAAGCATTTTAAGTAATTATGTGGATTTGGTTGGTCAGGAGAAGTTAAACTTTTCAAAAGATGTGCAGAAAGGTCATCTATTTTCACCCCATCTTGTATCAAAGCCGTGGAAAAACTAGCAAACATTGAATGATCAATAGAGAACATCAGTTTAAAGAAAACGTCTTACAATAATCTGAACTAAGATAACAAGTATCTACTGTTAATAAATACTTCATGGGCAATATTGAAAATATTTTCTGAGTTAATGACCTTGACAGTGACCTCTTAAATGTTAATTCTGGAAATTAGACAAACTTAAATCAGATGGCGATACGATTCTAAAATCCATATCATTACAATTTCCGTCCCCATAACAACTGAAATGTTTATTCAGTTTTGTTCTAATCCTACAGCTTCATTAGCTTACTTAACATCAATCTTGTTGCCATGGAAACATGACAAAAAGGCAACTTCAGCCATATCAAAAATCCTTGTACACATAGACACAACTGACTATTGTGACATCACTTCCAAAAGAGTCCTGCCTATCTCTAGCGCACTGATGCAATCTCTCCATATTAATATTTAATGAACATTCCCACACAGAAAGGTTTTGAAATGGCAGTTTTTGCAATTACTAAAGCAGATAAAATTATTCAAATTTATTTGATGAAAAAGTAATGTTTTACAAATTCAGATGAATTGCTGAAATATAACATATAAAAATCAAAAACAAATTTCAACATATCACATGTTGATGAATAAATAAATTCATGTCTGTTTCCCTTAAATGGTAAATATAACAACAAAAACATACATTAGTTGAAGGTTTTTAAATATTTGGCATTAAAAGATAAAACAGCATAAGAACAATTATTTCATGTTTCATGGAAAAATTATCACTGAGTAATAAAAGATCACACAGGAAACCTAATTTAGCAGCCAGAAAATATCCTGGCCTCTTTCTGGGGATGGAAACTTTGACCATGTGGGATAATAATGGTATTGGCATTCAGATCCATATCAGCCTAATAGTTGTGCTGACGAGTGAGTGAGCTGGGCTCAATGCTGCTTTTAACAGTGTTATCGTTACATCTTAACGGTGTGACATCTTAATGAGAAAGAAAAGCCTGAAGTGATGCAGGACTCAGACATTTACCACTTTGGTGAAACCCACTAAGTTTTCAAACCATAAAACATAATCAGGGAGAACCTGGATCTGGAGCTCACAGAAACCTGTTGCCCTGATATCCTAAAAATATGTTAGTACCATGGTCGAAGTTCTACTTCCTGAATTATATCTGTGACTATAGGAATAAAAATGAATCGAATTCGAATAGATATCTGTTTGACTTGTTGTCCAGAGAACACCTGGTATTTTGGTTTTGCCAAGTGATCTTATGTTTAAAGTGTGAAACCCATTCTCTCAACTGTAGATTGAAGCTTTTGAAATCCAAAAAAAAACCTTGAAGCTCAAGGCTTGACATGAAATGCCCTCAACCCCTAAAGGGATCTTGGAAGTTTCTGCAGCTGTTCCCCTGGAATCCCTTATAACAGTATAATAATCACCATCAGTACCCATGCTCTAAACACCAAGCACTTCAAATAAAAGTCTCCACTCTATACCAGTGACAACTCCCCCTCCCCAACCCATCCATCCCATCCCCTTCACTGCAAAGATGCCTTGAGTTTATAAGCCAGTACATGTTTGGAGACTCTAGAGGTCAAGATTTGGACTGTATACCTATCTTGCATATGTCTTAATATAGAATAGATAACAACGTTGTATTCTTAAAAACCAAAGGCTGTTGTTTTAGCTCATCAGGGAGATAAGAAACACACTTCAGAGGTTTGTATGGTTTCGAAATCGTAATAAACCTGTGATTATAGATTAAACCCCCATAAATATCCCCTTGGCCTCAGCTAAACCCTGGCTTCCTACTCTGTTGATTTTTATATCAAACATTAGTAAGACATTTACACTTGAGTTGAAATCAATACAATAATGGTGTTTTTCTCTCTAAATCTTTTTACGATATTCCATGAAACAGAAAAAAATAATTCATTGACATGAATAAATACATAATACATGTGAATCTGACTAGATAACACTTTATACATAATACATCCTTCACCAGAACAATCATAATTCATAACACATACATGACGACATTTAATGAGATCATTTCAAACCCTCAATCGTACAAGATTATTTGAATTCAAATAGTTACAAGTTGACTAGATCTATAAATTCATTTCGTAACAAATATTAACAAGTGTGATATACCAATGTTACCATGGCAACTAGGTATTAATATTTAACAAATACAATAACCTTGTACAATGAGGGTAGTTTGTAATATTTGGTACTTGACACAAGTATCAAGAAGATGCAAAGCCATGAACACTGTACAGAGGGGCTTCATCGGAGGGTTACGATCGTGGAGTATAGTCAAAGAGACCATGTCTTCATGGTAAATGTCATTTCAAATGTTTAAAAGCAGGATATAACATCACTTTTACAAACATCGTAATAATTCCTTGCTCATGTTATTTTTGTATACATGGTCTTATGACAAGATAAGGCAAAACAAATTATTATTTTTACTGATATTTCACTGTCAAAATACTTGGTGGCAAAATTAAGAATTAAACATATAGTCAGAGTTGAATATATTTCTTAGTAGATCTTGATTCAAAACAAGATTCTTGAAATTAAAGGTATAACAGAATATGATGTTCTGAATATACCAAAAGAGTTATGTTCATTTTAAGGATTTTGTAATTAATGTTACATTTGATTAATTTGGGTGGAAGTATCTGTAAAAAAACACAGTCAATTTAAAACTTTAATATAAATGTCTGTGTGAACTTAACTGTACCCTCAGTGATAAATTGAAATCAGTTCAAACACAACAATAACAATGGCTTGTTCTAGCTCCTGCACCATTAACTCATTAAAACAGTCAATGACCTTGACCTCAGGAACAAATCTAATACTGTCCAAAGCCTGCACCAAAAGCATAAAGATTCCTGGAATCCAGTTTCATCTGTAAACCCCTTGTGTAGATACGTTAACATCGCTAAGGAACAATCATGACTTTGAGTGCACATTCAATACTTCCAAGGTCTTGTTCACAACACATTCTTCCAATAACTTGTGAATAAATACACCTGTTTCCAGTGTTGACTTCACTATACTTAACCGATGAATCAAGCCATGGCCTGGTTCCAGCCAGTGCTCCGTGAGTGAGTGAGTGAGTGAGTATGGTTTTACACCGCTTTTAGCTATATTCCAGCAATATTACGGCGGGGGACACCAGAAATGGGCTTCAAACAGACCCTGGTCTTCGGCGTGACGAGCGAACGCTTTAACCACTAGGCTACCCAAACGCCCCTCCAGCCAGTGCTCCGACCAATGAGTGTTTAGATGACATTGCACAAACAACAATACTTCTCGTGCAACATGCGCCTACACACTGTTTCAATACCAGACAATGAGAGTGAGTTGGGTTTAACGCCGCTTTTAACAGTATTCCAGTTATATCACGGTGTGTCAGCTTAATGTAGGAGGAAAGCCAGAAGTGATGCAGGTCTCAGACGTTTACCACTTTAGTGAAACCCACGAGCACGGGCATGGTGCTGACAAACCTAGAAACATAATTGGGGACAACCGGGATTCGAACCCACAAACATAGGTTTCTGGCGTGCCCAAGGGACGCAACTCTGCACAGAGAATCGCGGGGGCCTTAGACGACTAGGCCACCCGTGCCCCCCCCCCCCCCGACAATGAGAAGTCCATGCACATGCTTCATTTGACTTCCATGAATTATAAACAGACTCATTTCATTAACAGATTTAAAACAGACACACCTTACGTCTTCACCAGAGCGCAGACATTTGTTTTAACATGAAGATGTGAATGAGTTAGGTTTAACACCTATTTGAACAGTATTCCAGTTACATCACGGCATGTCAGCTAATTGTGGGAGGAAAGCCCAAAGTGATGCAGGTCTCAGATGCTTACCACTTTAGTGAGACCTATGAGTACGGATATGGTACTGACAAACCTAGAAACTTAATCGGGGCGAACTGGGATTCGATTCCAATATCACAGTTTGTGGTATGCTCAAGGGATGCAACTCTCCACAGTGAATTGCAGTGCTTTAGATTGCTGGGCCCCCATGCACCCAATATGGTTGAAGGAAGAATGTAGTGTATACAAACACAGGAAGTATTGACAATGCAATGAGTATGAACACATAAGGAGTGTTTCCTGCCCCATAAGATCCTTTTCCTTAGACACGACTTGTGGAAAAAACTGACAAGATCCTCAACATGTACAGGTGTATCTCGAGATGTGTTCTATGGTCAGGATGCATCGCTCAACACCCTTACAACCACCTGCAAAATAGTAGCTATGTGCTGCTTGTGTAGTAACGAGTATTGGTTAGAGCAACAAGTATTGGTTACAGCAACACGTATTGGTTACAGCAACACGTATTGGTTACAGCAACACGTATTGGTTACAGCAACACCTATTGGTTACAGCAACAAGTATTGGTTACAGCAACATGTATTGTTTACAGGAACAAGTATTGGTTACAGCAACAAGTATTGGTTACAGTAACAGGTATTGGTTACAGTAACAGGTATCAGTTGCAGCAACACGTACTGGTTATAGCAACACAAATTGGTTATAGCAACAGAAATTGGTTACAGCAACACGTATTGGTTACAGCAACATGTATCGGTTACAGCAACACGTATTGGTTACAGCAACACGTATTTGTTACAGCAACATGTATCGGTTACAGCAACACGTATTGGTTACAGCAACATGTATCGGTTACAGCAACATGTATCGGTTACAGCAACACGTATTGGTTACAGCAACATGTATCGGTTACAGCAACATGTATCGGTTACAGCAACACGTATTGGTTACAGCAACATGTATCAAATACAGCAACATGTATCGGTTACAGCAACACGTATTGGTTACAGCAACATGTATCGGTTATAGCAACACGTATTAATTATAGCAACATGTTTTATGAAGGTCAATGCAAAATCCACATGATGCACTGGTCTGCAGCACATAGCAACAATGATGCAGGCAGCTTACAAACTTTAAAACACAAATGAGTAAAAAATCATTGATTGACACAATATTGCCATTTCATTTACAGCACATTTGAGCATCGGTATATATGCTATCACATATCAAAGCAAGTGTTCAATGTACAAACAGGAAAATAAAATAATATCACTGGATGTAAGACACATTATATAAGGAAACAAAAAAGAAAAATATAATGTTCAATAATTAAAATGATCAGGGTAAAAAAATGGAAAACTATCTTCCTTAAAATGACACACTTTTATGTTACAGCTTTCCGGTGGAGATAATCTGCTCTGCAGCCTAATTAATACAAAGCCAATATTTGTGACCTCACTGGCTGAAATTCACTGAAAAACTTTCAGGGAAGATTCAGACATTCGTTGGTCTTTGACTGTTTCTATTTGAGACCTAAAAACCATCTAGTTCAAAGGAGGTCGTTTGATAAAATCAGTCACAACAACAAAAATTAACCCATGAGAATGCATGTCATATACAAACAGATCTCAATCTTGGGCATAATTAATTCATTAGTAAAGTATCTCATCTCAAACCATGTTACAAAGTGGACATTCACATTTCAGAGAATCATATGTACAACAATACAAATACATGTCATATAATTAAAAAATGATAGAACTTACGTGATCTTTGGCAATAGTAATACACAAGTCTTGGATCTCAGGCACATCTAGTCATAACATGATAGAACTGATGTGACCTTTGGCAATAGTAATACACAAGTCTTGGATCTCAGGCACATCTAGTCATAGCATGATAGAACTGATGTGACCTTTGGCAATAGTAATACACAAGTCTTGGATCTCAGGCACATCTAGTCATAACATGATAGAACTGATGTGACCTTTGGCAATAGTAATACACAAGTCTTTGATCTCAGGCACATCTAGTCATAACATGATAGAACTGATGTGACCTTTGGCAATAGTAATACGCAAGTCTTGGATCTCAGGCACATCTAGTCATAACATGATAGAACTGATGTGACCTTTGGCAATAGTAATACACAAGTCTTTGATCTCAGGCACATCTAGTCATAACATGATAGAACTGATGTGATCTTTGGCAATAGTAATAAGCAAGTCTTGGATCTCATCCTCTTTACAGTAACCTCATCTCTGATTTGCCACCTGTAAGTGATTTTGAATTTCACTTGTTGCTACAGAGCTATGAGCTGACCCATAGTGTTGGAATGCCCATAGCTCTGTGTAGCAACAAGACAATATCAAAATCTATTATAGGGAACAGCATAGAGATATGATTCCTGCAGCTATTTACACATGAGCAAACAACTACACAGGATAAATTTAATGTCTGCCTTGTAACAAACGACAATTCTCACTTGACTAGCATTATTTTACACATTACAAAAATAGACCACCTGGACGTGCCAATTTCAATTTCATAAGACATTGCCAGAGTACAAAGTTGTTGATTTTTTAAAGATTTAAAAAAATATGTTGATCATCTGCATCACAAGATACATGCTCCATGGGTATACTTGAAACTAAGCGCAACGTATCGTACCTCAAAATAGGAACTCAGTCTGTGCTAGAAACGTTTGCATCAACTCGTCCTGAATTTTTGGAGTGGACGTTGCTGCATACAAGGGTAGTAATAAGCTAAGATAACAAGACTAACATAAACTTTACTGGACTAGTGGCTCAAGTCACAGATTGTTAACTTATCTTACTACTGAGCAACACTTGTAAATTTGAATGCAGAATGTACAAAAACACAGTTGACTTAAAAAAAATTTTTTGTACAGACTGAATATTCCATTAATAATTGTATTGATATTCTCTATCGCAGCTTTACACTGAAACACTAGATATTCTGTTGTTTATCTAAGTAAGGATTGTCAGGATGGCTCGTGGTTGCAGTCGAGTCACATGATGATTGATCATTTCAGGCGTGGTGCAGATCGATCGTTGGTTAGTGTTTTACGCAAAGCCACATTCGCAAACATAGGATTCCTGTTGCGTCTGGAACGAAAGCACAGACCCTCTTTAACACATGTTCCATAGAGAATAGACTCTTTAACACCTGTTCCATGGAGCAGAGACCCTCTTTAACACCTGTTCCATGGAGTATAGACCCTCTTTAATACCTGTTCCATGGAGTATAGACCCTCTTTAATACCTGTTCCATGGAGTATAGACCCTCTTTAATACCTGTTCCATGGAGTATAGACCCTCTTTAATGCCTGTTCCATTGATCACAGACCCCTTTTAACGCCTGTTCTATGGAGTTTACACCCTCTTTAACACACTCCATGGAGCACAAACCCTCTTCAATACCTGTTCCATGGAGCACAAACTCTCTTTAACACTGGTTCCATGGAGCACAAACCCTCTTTAACACTGGTTCCATGGAGCACAGACCCCCTTTAACGCCTGTTCTATGGAGTGTACACCCTCTTTAACACTGGTTCCATGGAGCACAGACCCCCTTTAACGCCTGTTCTATGGAGTGTACACCCTCTTTAACACTGGTTCCATGGAGCACAAACCCTCTTTAACACTGGTTCCATGGAGCACAGACCCCCTTTAACGCCTGTTCTATGGAGTGTACACCCTCTTTAACACCTGACCCATGGAACACAAATCCTCGTTTACACCTGTTCCATGTGAAAACCCCTCTACACTTGTGCATACTTACGGGTCTTCCTCTTCGACATTGTAGTCAGTCGGTGGTGGAGGTGGTGGGAACCCAGGGGAGGTGTTCCCGGACCAATGTTGTTGCTGGCTTGTGAGCGGTGGCGGAGGTGGGGGAGGAGCCTGTGGAGCTTGCGGAGCCTGTGCCATCTGCTGATGGAGCCCTGTCTGGTAGTGGTGGTCATGCTGACGGGGCAGTGTGTGGACTTCACCCTGACTGGTCAGAATCTGAGACAGAGGGGTGCCTTGAATTGAAACAGGGTGCACGGAAGAGGAAGAGGAAGAAGAAGAGAGAGGATTCATAGGAGGAAGAGGGGGAGGGGGAGGAGGAGGGGAGGAAGGATTTGTAGAATGAGAGTTAGAAAGATAAGATGCAGGCAAGGCTGGGCTTTGAGACCTGCCTTCCATCATGCCAGGGTTATGGGCTGGACTCTGAGATCGAACTTCTCTCATGCTAGAGTTTCGGGACAACGGTCTGAGGACATGCTTGGGTGTGTGGGGCATGCCATGGCCATCATATGGTGGCTGTGGTGCTGGCTGTGTCGGGGCTGGGGGGTGAGGGTGACAATTAGGAACAGAATCATGCAATGGTCTCCCCGTAGGAGGGTGGATCTCCAGGGAGGGAACTCCATGCTGCTTGAAGGCAAAAGGAACAACTGGTTACAGTCATGATAATAAGTATCAGGGTTTGTGATAGCAATGAAGATATCTTGTGAATGAGTTAACAGTTGGAGGAGGTTGTTAAATTCATTAGCCAGTTAGTCCGTATATGAGATGAGATATTGCTGAAATATGTTCTTGCACTCATTATCAATATCTTTTAACAAGAAAAATAAAGAGCTTTTTTTCACATCTGTAAAAGACATATTCAAATAAATACTTGTTCTCTTGAAAAATAAGTAAATATTAGTCACAAGTATTAACAGAAGGGCACAGCGGCATAATCCACATGCAAAGATGCAGCTCTAACCTCCAGAAGCATACAGACTGGTAAACACATACATGAATACTGAACCAACTACAAACAACAGCACCGTATAACAACAAACAGCACCTCATACAACAAACAGCCCCTCATAACAACAAACAGCACCTCGTACAACAAACAGCACCTCGTACCACAAACAGCACCTCATAACAACAAACAGCACCTCATACAACAACAAAAAAGATGTTAAGGGCAAGTATTCAGTATCTATCACACACACCAGCTCTGCCAATGGTTAGCCCAGACACTCAAACAACCTACATTCACAAAAACCACCCAACTTTATGTAACCATAGCAACAAGAATTACAAATACAAAGATGAGACACAATAATTTGTTGATCCCCTGGCACTTGTATCAAGATTGTAATTAATAGGTCTTGACTGCATGCATAAAATCTGTAAGAATTTTCTTGACCTTTGGGTTTTTTTTGGTTGTAAAAAATATCACATAGAGTTAAAACATGATTCTATTTCATGCATCATGATGTTCAGGAAGATTTTCAAACAAGAGTTATCACACAGCTGAAACACCACATGTCAAACACACTGTCCACACAAACATAGGCTGAAGCGAAACTTTGGAACGAACAGAAACCAGTAACAAAACAACTTGGATTACAGCATTCCTAACATCTGTGTGCCAGTCGTACTTTAGGCAGTTTTGTATAGTCAGGCATGTTGAATAAGCATTCCTGGCAGGTAAAGTATGGGTTTCTCGTCAATTGTTGAGGATGTCTGCTTGTATCGTCTGGTGAAAAAGGTTCCCTTAAAATTTTGTCAGTCTATATTCAATATGAAACTTAGCAGTTGAACACTCAGCATTATACATGTAACATATCAAACTACAGAAGAACTCAATCCCATCATCTTACAAGAGGTTGATCAGCACTAAGTGTATGTGAGGAGTGACACAACTTTAACTACAACGTCACTGCATTCTCAGATTATCGCTTCATAGCATAGGAGGTTAAGAGAAATTACATACATTTCATCCATGTGCAAAAGATGGACACTCACAGAAAATTGATGGTTTTGGAAGAATGTTGAAAATATCAACATGAGTTAACATTTTCAAAAGAGTTAAAAATTTATAATAGCACTTTCATGTGGAACTATGATTGACTTGCCTTTCTGTATCATGCTACATGTTCCTACATGTGTGCATAAGACACGGTGGTTAGTAAGTGCACCTGTAATCTCAGTAAAATCAAATCTTAGTTCTGGCTTCCGCTAAACAAAGATCTGAGGACATTCCATTACTGGTCACGCCAGACCGACCTTGCGCGAACTTTGACCGGCCAATGGAATGACCAATAAGAAGGGAGCTTTCTCGTGCTTTACGGCACTAATTTCAAATTGGCGACTACAATTGGCGACTAAATTTCTACAAGTCCTTATGGTACCTCAACTATTGGGAAGTTTAGCAAGGACTACAGGACTAGTGCTTATCTCAACGCTGCATTTGCATATTTCAGTCATTTCATACACACAGCTACCTGAAGTAGCCACAGTAATACTACAGCTACGTCACATCAGTCTGTATGGGATCAACCATTTGATATTCTCAGGGAAGGCTGGGACTTAGGAAAACACATAACTTCAGCAAGAAAAAATTATGGTTAGGAAAAATATATTGTACGGTTTCTCCATCCAGAGACAAAATTTGTATGTTGTGAAGAAGTGGCCAAAAAATATCCTGCGACTGTCTCTAACAAAATGTCCGAGACTTCCCCCTCCTCTACACACACCCCTACCCCAGAATATCAAATGGTTGCTCCCTAAGTCTCGACTACTGGTCCACCCAAACTGCCCACAGGAACCACAACAGAAAGGCAACACAAAGACAACGACCATGCAGGACGGAGCACCACCACAAACTGCATGCAGTACCTTGGGGTCATAGTAGGGGTCAGGCAGGGTCTGGTACAGCTCCTGGGAACCCATGTCAACCTGGGGTGAAGGTCGAGGAAGGGTATGAAAGCCAGAGCTAGCTCGAGCAGAGGACGTGTCGGACCCTATCCCCCCATAGGACAGCATGTGAGGGGCAAAGTCACCACTGGTTGTGTGGTACAGGTGACTCGACCATGGTGACATAGACGAGGTGGTGGGCATAGAGGGCTGGAATGCAAGGTCGGGAGGTCAAGGTCAAAGTGGCATAGCACAGGTTCATCAACTGACCATGGGGAAATAGTGTTCAAATGTTTCTTCCACATGTGTTCCATAATTTCATTTAGAAATACAAAAAAACAGAGTGTACATTCGACTAGTTTGTTTCCCAAAAGAATCACAGTTTTGACAGCCTTTTCAGTTCACATTTTTGGTGGAAATTTAACAAACATGATAGCAAACTGCCAAACACGGAAAACTTTCACCATGCACCAAAATTTACTTTACACGACCACAATACAGTTAACACACTAATGGCTATATAATGTTTCATTTCATATCAATATGGGATCCTATATGTTATGCATCGAATCATGATCTATCGATGGATCAGAGAATCATGGCACACCATCCTAAAACTAGATGGAGTATATATTTTGTCTGAACCTAACAAGGGAGTGCTGCAACTTCCCCTGTCGTACGCCACCACAAACAACCTGTGCTTGCCCCTTGCTACACCTTGCTACATTCACAATCAGGGCACGAATGTCGTTCACATACAACCTAAATGTTAGGAGGCCAACAATGTCATGGAAGTCAAAGGGAACATGTCAGAAGACGAATGTCAAGAATGAAGGGGAGGGGAGGAATATAACTGCAACAATTTTGAACACAATGTTAAACCCCCAGCCAGGTTTTTGTATGAACTAACAAAGGGGCATAACTCTTGTCGAGTGAGTGAGTGAGTATGGTTTTACGCCGCTTTTAGCAATATTCCAGCAATATCACGGCGGGGGACACCCGAAATGGGCTTCACACATTGTACCCATGTCGGGAATCGAACCCAGGTCTTCGGCGTGATGAGCAAATGCTTTAACCACTAGGATACCAGACGGCCCAACTCTTGTCGAAGCTCAACAGTAAATGCTCTTTATAATGCATGTGTTTGTGGGTTCTTTTAAACTTCAATTAGCATTATACCAGCTACATCACAGAGGCCTGTAAACCACGAAAACCAGTTGTTGATAGCATGAGCAAGGGCAGATCCAGCATTTTTACAAGGGGGGGACCCCGTGGACCCCTTCTCTGGATCCGCCTGTGATGAGCAACAATTCAAGGCGTCGGGTTACAATAAGCCAGGTTTACAGACTGTGAATATCCTATATACATCAGTCATGGGGCAATGGGAATGTATTCTGACCCAGATTCACACAGGGTATATTTAAAATCTTGTTCACAAGTAATTGCAATATAACATTCTATACAAAAACTAGTTTGGTTCGAGTTTCTTTTCCTTATTCTAAACCAGTAATATTGCATCTATATGAGGGTGTTCGTTAACTAATCAAGTCTGGACCAGACAATCCAGTGTTTGACATCCTGAGCATCGATCCCGTTACTTGCCTCTTTCAACAAGCATGAGTTGCTGAAGACCAATTCTAACCCAGACCATCAGGTTTTTGTTTCTTTCAACCAACATAGAAGAGAAATTGAAAGCATATTCCTACATCACTGAAGATTGTACAGCTAATTCACTGTATGTCTAGCCACCTACAGCCACTGACCTGGGATGTCGGTGTGATGTGCCGGACCATGGAGCTCTCGTACAGAGACCGCGGGCGCCGGCTCCGACCAGGCATGTCCACTTCGTAGCTGATGCTGATGTCGGAGATTTGTGACCGGGAGTCCAGCAGGTCTCCGATACTCTTTGCTCGGTGTAGGCTAAAGGGAGACAATCAATGACTTTGTTTGTCAGGAACTGTCTTACAGATCAAAAAGGTCGTGAACAATGAATAACCTGTTTTTCATCATCATCAACATGATCAGCGTTCCCATTTACCAGTAACTAACAGTTTTTTAGGCTTGGATTGGTAATTCTTGTGACTGCCAGTCCCTGTGGACCAGCAAATAAGGTATCTTGTACATCTTCGTTGTTGAACAAAACATCATCGATTGTCAAAGAAGTATTTTTTTCGACCGAGGTCAGCTTGTCTGTTTTCATCAGGGTTTCAAGTTGTCTATTTTTCATGCAAGGAAATATTATTTCGCTTTGCCTCAAGGTTAAATATCTTAGTCTTGAATTAAAGTGAAATATTCAGAAAAAAGGGAAAATAGTGATTGAACTTTGTGCGATTTTTATAGTTGCCAGTCCAATGGGGCTGACAGTTCTGAAAGCCAGCGGGAATACTGATGATGTTTGTAATCTAAAACATCCATGAATATAAAGACAACAAACCAGCGCGATTCTTTTAACAAAATCTGAGTCTTACATCAGTTCTAAAAATGCAAAGATTATCTGATTTATGCGAGGAGTCATATTTCTTTATAAAAACAACTATGCTCTTAAACTGGAATCTGTTTTCTGCCATCTGAGAAAGACTAACATGATGACCTGGTCATTTGGGAAGTAAGCTTCTGATGCAAAAGTTTTTAAATGGCCTTATGGATCGAAAACTTATAATACAGCTAAAGAATGTTTTCATAGGATGTGGATTGAGTAACTGAGTGAGTGGTTTTAGGCCGCTTTTAGCAATATTCCAGCTATATCATGACAGGGGAAAACGGAAATGGGCTTCACACATTGTTCCCATGTCAGATGTGGATAGAAAAAGTAGAATATCGGAATATATTCTCCAGTTAATACTTAGCCTGCATTACATTATGCACATTGTGGCTTTCGGGTCGAAAGCATCCATGGAAAGAAGACCCAGAGGATTGTATTCCTGATATATATAAAGTTGTTGAACCAGTGGTATCCCAATGACCGCTCCCTGGAGTTACCTCCCTTTACCCCTCTCTGTTGTCATTCTTGTTTCTTTCAATATGCATAATGTATTCAGGCTAAGTAACAAATACTATGAAATAGCAGATGTATATATACTTGTGCGCTCTTAAAAAACATGTATTAATACATAAAGAATATCTGGTATCAGTTACAATAAAAAAGATTAGAGTTTTGCCAGCTCAGTTCAGAGATCTGAAGATTTCTAAAGGCATATTTAAAAAGTCTAATAATATCTGTACTCCTTGTAACTTTAATGATGTAAAAAACAAGTCTGTTATGCATATTTGTAAACTCAATCTTCAACTAAGAAACAAATATATCCCAAAGTACACATTACCCAAATATCAATTCGAAAAAGTAAGTATACAATGATTCAAATGAACCCAATGATTCTGCTTTCATATTTTTTTTAATCACTGGAATGTAATTGTGGTTTTTTTTTAGGATTTCTATCACAGTGTAAATGAAAAATGTATCCAAACCCTACTGCTTATTCCAATATTATTACTTGCCCGTGAAGAGATCACCCGTTTAATAAAGATACAGCTGTATGACACATTGTGTAATACCAAAACGCGTGCTTATGTCATGTATGTACTCTCGGAACACGTTTCACGAACAAATGTTAAAGCTCTCAACATCCCTTGGCTTATTCAACGACATTGCGTGTGGAGTTGATAGATCACTGAGAGGAGCTTATGCACACTCGATGACCCCCAGCAACCTTGTTGTTAGGCTGACGTCACATGGCATTGTTTCGCCGATGGATCTTGCAACAAAATTCCACAAATTACGTCATCGGGTATTGTGACGTTATTGTAAACTTTGAGGTGCAAGGCCCGTTCCACAAGGCCATCGTATTGTAGCGCAACGACAGTCGTCAGTCTAAGTTAAAGGATGTGAGTTGCGATAGTCTTAGCCCTACAATAATTTTGTGAATTGTATTGTGAATTTGTTGTATGGTATTAAATTCCAATGCTTTTGCTCGTCAGATACCAAAACTATTCACTCGTTTCATAAAATTGGTATTACACGGGAGCTCATTTAGTATTCTATATTTCATCAACATGACCCATCAGTATATCCCTAACTTCCATGTCATGCCGACTAGTACCAGCTGGCATCACAGATCACCCTCTAAAGGTGGAGAAAACTACGTCCAGATTGTGTGGACATGAGCAGAGTGTGACCGTCTGACTCACAGTTGAGAGTGGTCCGTGTGGCGACTGCTTCCGACAGCGTCAGTGAAGGAGAGAGGGAACCAACCAAACCTGGGAATAGTAAGTGAAAAGGAATTACCCCTTTATACAGTCGTTCATTTAAATCATGGCATGTCAGCAGAGATGGTTGAACCCCTCTGGTTAAACCCACAATCAGAAGCAGGGTTAGAAATTAGCACTAGCCCGCTAGCCAGGGGCTAGTACAAATTCCTGTGGGCTAGTACAAATTTCTCAATTTTCACATTGTTTTAACATTTAATACAAGGGCATTTTATCTTTACCTGGGCTAGTAAAGTTTTTGTGCTTAGTTCTAACCCTGAGACTCAGGCTATAGCATATCCTGACAACTAGGGGAGAAAACTCTACACAGTCATTAGGTGAGTGAGTTGAACATTGTATTGGCAATAACGTGAAGCTTCCTTTGACAGATTGCCAGCACAAGTTTGATGCAGACAAAATAAATCATTATCAGGATGAAAATGAGATGAGAACAAATTATTAGATCCTGGTACAAGGAAGGGACACAACTCTGCACAGTGAATTGCAGTGCCTTTAGCCATGTTTGGCAACTGGAAATGTGAATATAATCGTTACAGCTGACAACACCAATATCATAGGTATACCATCACATAGCAAGCATACCAATAATAGCCAAATCTACAACCGGAATCCCCAGGGGGTCAAAAGTGTGACAGCAACAGTCTGAGCTACGAGCCACTGAAACGGACAGCTGACAACAGAACTATGACCTACTTTCCAGTGTGAGCATTAAGGCCGTACTGCCATCCGTCGGCCTTCTCCCCAATGAGCGTGAGGACGTCCCCGTCACTGAAGCTAAGCTGTTCCTCCCCTCGGCCGGTGTGGGCGTAGATCGCCTGCACGTTGGATGTGGCAGGGGAACTCTGGGTCATCGATGGGAGGCCACGGGGCAACGTCTTGCCTTGAAACAAAACTGAGAATGATAAGGCTCACATTTCTATGCCCTAATGCAGTCAAGTCCCGTTAATCCTACATAGTTGGTTGCATATGATTATGTCGGAATAACAAGTATGTCGGATAAACAAAATTAAGTAGTATCAATGTTTGTGATCAAAAAATTGGACAACTATACAAACATGACACAAACATGTTGTCGTAAAAAAAATGAAAAATGACATTTTCGTGGAAAAGGTTTTCTAATCATGCAACCTCTGAAGCTTAACACAAAACAACTGTTAGAGACTCTATGTCTGATCCAAAATACTTAAAAACGCATAGTCTGGAATGGAAGTCGCTAGTTTGAAACTGGTGCTGCAAAGTTCAAGAAAGCTGCTTTCTTAGTGGCTAATGTCGACTTCCTGTCAGTTATTTCATTGGTCGGTTATAGTTCGGATGTCCACAGCGGTAGCAAGAACTTGAATCTGATTCTAATGTGATTAATCCTGTTTTGTTTATTTTAAGCACAAATTGTTTGTTTTTAAGCAAGTTTATCTCTGCAGCCGTTGTAATATGCAGTTACCAGCCGATTTGGAACCCACCGATAACATCTGCGTATCAGGGATTGGAACCCTCCGATAACATCTGTTTTTAAGGGATTAGAACCCTGCAATAACTTCTGCTTTTCAGGGATTAAAACCCTCCGATAACATCTGCTTTTCTGGGACTAGAACATTTTGTCAATATCTGCTTTTCTGGGATCAGAACTTTTCCACAATATGTGCGGATCAGTGATTGGAGCTTTTTGATAATATCTGTTTGTCAAGGATTGGAAATTAACAACAAAATGGCTATGGACATGAGGGCTGATCATAAACCAATTCAAAATACAATACATATGGTTTTGAATGATATTTCACAAATATTGATAAAACAAACAAAGACTACAAATTCTCTTTCCACAGCCAAAATACTGCCAGCTCTATAACATAGATGGTGATACAGCGACACTGTGATATGTCTTACATGTACTTGATGTGTCATGCTGCTGCTGATAGTGTTTCAGCTATATCGCAGTGAGCTCGGTGTGGGAGGAGTGAGAGAGTGAGTGAGTTGGGTTTAACGCCGCTTTTAACAGTATTCCAGTTATATCACGGCGTGTCAGCTTAATGTGGGAGGAAAGCCCGAAGTGATGCGGGTCTCAGACGTTTACCACTCGGGTGAAACCCACGAGCATGGGTATGGTGCTGACAAACCCTAGAAACATAATTGGGGAGAACCGGGATTCGAACCCACAATCATGGGTTTCAGGTGTGCCCAAGGGACACAACTCTGCACAGCGAATCGCGGCGCCTTAAACGACTGGGCCACCCGTGCCCCCCGGTGTGGGAGGAAAGCTTAGTGGGACGCAAGGAGTAGGCACTTTAACCTTTAGGCAAACATGTTACTTCAGAAAGGTCCACCTACTCTCTACAGGCATGGCAGCAGGCACAGCATACTCGGACGGCGCCGACTTCTGCCGCATGTACTCAGTGGTGGACGCAGGGCGGTGGTAGGGGCTGCCGTAGTGGCTGTCCCCGGGATACACCATGCCGTTCTGGTGCTTCTGGGAGTTCTCCATCACCTCGCGTCTCTGCTCCTATACAAGGATACAAATTCATGCATTGTTCCAAGTGTCATAAGTTAAGAAAAAAATAGAAAGGGGAGGTTTCCATTTGTCATAGTCGGACAGCTGTGTACCATGTGGGGATTCCAGGTTACAATATGGCATTACCTTGTGCGTGGTGATTTTATGAGCAAAAAAAGAGTGAGTGAGTGAGTTGGGTTTAATGCCGCTTTTAACAGTATTCCAGTTATATCACGGCATGCCAGCTTTATGTGGGAGGAAAGCCCAAAGTGATGCAGGTCTTGGACGTTTACCACTTCCGTGAAACCCACAGCAAATTTCGGTGCCTTAGACGAATTGGCCACCTGTGCCCCCGAGCAAATAAAGATGTTGTTTTTGTACAGAACATTACAAAATGGCTGCTGGTTGTGTCATTCTACCGAGATGATCTTTGAGTTAACCATTCACATGACTTCATCCCCCCTAAATATTTTCTCATAAAAAATAAATGATTCATGATTCAAAACGTGTTAATAACAACAATGACACAATCTAAAATTTGGGTAATAGAACGCCAATAACCTAAGTTAGGCCACGATACAAGGGATCATGGGGACTCCTCTTAGAATAAGCATGAGACACCACTCCTAAGTTGCCTAAAGAAGTACAACATTTCAGAATGTAGATGGGTGATTGTTTCCATGGTGGTGAAGAAGGTCTTACCCGTCTGTTGACGAGTGGATCAGCTGATCGCGGCAGAATATGAGGCTGTGAACACAGTTGTTTCCAGTGGGATATTTCTGACGCCAACATCTCATAACCCTATAAATACATGATAACATAATATAACATAACGTAACGTAACGTAACGTAACGTAACGTAACGTAACGTAACGTAACATATACTCACCGCCAAAAGAAACGTGGACCATAGAAACATTTAGAGAAGTATGTACGTTCTGAAGAGATGTTTCCAATGTGTACCAATTAATGCAAAAAAAACTAACAATCAGTCAAATGTTACCACAGAGTGTCTCTTTTCTTATCACGATATGCTGCACATGATTTGTAAACTTATCAAATGGAGCATCGCAAGTCATGGATCTGTGACGTCACATGTGATGCGTTCATGAGCGTCAGTTCACACAACATGTATGTTCATTAGTACATCGAACTTATCTTATATCTCTTGAATATGAGTAATTCTTCATATATCAGTTCACACAACATGTATGTTCATTAGTGCATCGAACTAATCTTATATCTCTTGAATATGAGTAATTCTTCATATATCAACCAACATGCATGGTATTCGCATTTCTTTTGTCAGTGATAGAGTGATGATTACACGATGTCTTGATGAGATGACACAAATAAGATAACAATGGCATTTATTTTTCCAGCAGTAAACACAAAATAAGTTGTAACAGAACTGCTATAGGTTATAGATTATAGCAGAATATCTATACTCATTACAATGAGAAACATGTCCGATTGTGCAGATACAAAGCAAAGTACTGTGTTTGTCACTGCATCAACGTAACATTACACCAACAACTGCGTCTCAACACCGTTCAGAGTAAACATTAAACACTCTTGTTCTTTGTAATTAAGTTCCTGCATCTTGAGGTAAGTTGTCACCAAAACATCATTCCTTAATATTACCACTGACTGCTCTTGACATACATAAACATTATGAAATCACCAGCATCATAATAAACATTATATGACAAGAACATCCATTTCATAACTCGCTCCAGCAGTCAATTATTCAGAAACTGGAGTCCTTACAATACCAATGCCTTAAAAATATCAATAGCACAACCAATATCACAACCATGATGAGAAATATAGAAAAGCATATATAAAAGTCATGCTATTTCCGTTTTCTTCATGCATAAATCATAATCCTCTCAGCATATGAATAATATATAACTATGTACATCTATACTGTCTATGTTACATCATCAGTAATTCACAGCCTTGAGTACAGCATGTTCCTCTGTCAGCCTTAAATACATACTGCTGTGTTGGTGAGGGACAATTTGTTGACAAGGAATCAAGCCCCAGCCTGCCGTCCAGGGTGACGGATGTCAGCTAGTGCACAGATCAGTGCGTGCTCCGTTGACACTGCATTAACTAGCATTTCTTGCTTTACAATGTGTGCATCGTGGGCCATGCAGGGGTTTATCTAGAACTGCTTGGAGTCAACTGTCAGTTACAAATCACAATTTGGAATTAAACATTTCCCAAGTCATTTTATAGTTATAACGTATGGCTTTTATTTGTGGAGGCAATGTGTATTTCAATGATATATTGAATTGAATGCAATGTTAAAATATTTCTGAATTTAGCAAAAGAAGAATTTTTTTTAAATCCCAATTTTAAACAAAATAACAATTCTTCTCAATTTGACTGACAAGGGCACGTTGTTTTGAATCCTATATACACGTACACCCCTGCCATGGCTCTAACATCGGTTCTAAGTACTGTTTCAGTGTTACCCTGGTCAGGCAACAGTTGGGTTTGTTAAAGATTCATCCATGGGATAGACCTCATGTGACTTGTTTGAATTATTTACAGCCTCATTTCAGAAGCCTACATTTAAATAGACACGTATCACCATGTCTGAACGCTGCACAGCTGCTGTACGTATTCGTGGGTAATAGAGGAATGTAGTGTGTCAATACTGTGAAGAACTGATGACGGCTAAAGTGATGAAGGCTGTAAGAAAGAAAGCTATGCTACTACTACACATTAGAACCATCCATGGCTGATAAATAAAGGCAATGCAAACAAACCAAACTACAGTAACTCTAAGAATAGCTCAGTAATTCCCTCATGAGATGATTCCACTGCTTCCACAAGAGCCCTGGTGTAAATAAAGCAGATTAAACAGAAGGCAAGAGTCAGTGAGTGAGTGAGTCAGTGAGATTGGTTTAATGCTGCTTTGAACAGTATTTCTGTTATATCACAGCATGTCAGTTTGATGTGGGAGGAAAGCCTGAAGTGATGCAGGTGTCAGACGTTCACCACTTTCGCGAAACCCATGAGAATGGGTATGGTGCTGACAAACCTAGAAACATAATCAGGGTGAACCTGGATTCAAACCCATGATCATAGGTTTCTGGCACGCCCAAGGGACGCAACTCAGCACAGTGTATTCCAGCACATTAGACACCTGGGTCACATGGCCCTCATCACTGTTGTGACTATAGCAGGAGAGTGTACAGGCATGAAAAGAAGACATGATGACAGCTAGAGCCGTGTTAGTACATATGATGGAAGGGAGACAATCCAGATACAGCGTTTACATCCTGCCAGTGTGACGAGGATTCAGGGACTTGTTCTTACCACTGAGACAAGCTTACTTCCATACTTAACATACGTTTGTTTGTATGTTGTTTTATTATTTTATCACTAACATCCTGTTGGGTACCATAAACCGCGACTTACTGGTCCAGCAGCAGAAGCTGGCCAAGGGATAATCCCCATCGTGTTTGTTTAAGCAGGCAGGGGGGAGGGGGAGTTGTGTCAGATCAAACATTGTAACACATAGGTAACGATTTTGCTTCACATCTCAAATTTACCTACTTCACAGTCCAACTGTAAGTTAAACAGCATCGCCGTAATGGGAGGCAGACAAAAGCCCCTGTATATGCCCAGTGGGTCACCCGGACAAAATGAATGGAAGTTTGACATCCGGTCTTATTCATGAACTTATATCTGGCAAAAACCAAGTGCCGACCATTCTAAGAATTGGGAATAAACTGTAAATCAACCTGTTTAAATCAATGATTAATATGTTTACTCACTCATATTTTAAAAGTGTAATGTGAATGAAGTTCACCAGTTTGTTGTGTCGTTATATTTTGTGAGATGATCACCAGTTAGTTGTGTCGTTATATTTTGCGAGATGATCACCAGTTAGTTGTGTCGTTATATTTTGTGAGATGATCACCAGTTTGTTGTGTCATTATATTTTGCGAGATGATCACCAGTTTGTTGTGTCGTTATATTTTGTGAGATGATCACCAGTTTGTTGTGTCATTATATTTTGTGAGATGATCACCAGTTAGTTGTGTTATTATATTTTGTGAGATGATCACCAGTTAGTTGTATCATTTTATCAATTACCAAAGTTGTACCTATGATAATAGGCTTGACAAGTAGGAAGACCAACAATAAACCACCAGGCAGACTGGGCGCCAACCAGATTGTTGAAAATGTGCAGCGCATCAAGCAGTGGGAACCTGTTTTAACTTCCATCAAGGGGGAGCCCCTTACTGGCAGAAGTTTTCGTTTGGGGGTCGAGTTTGCGTAACGTTTTTATTGTCTTTTTTATGCTATTTCCAATATTTACATTTAATTTTGGTCAAGCATTTGTGATTACATACGCCCTAAAGTAGTTGCTCTGTTGATCTTAATTGCGCTTTAGATATAGTGATGTTTAAAGTTTGTGAAAGATTGTGAAGCTAGGCAACAGAAGACGAGAGGTCTGTGGACGACAAGTTCTTCAATGTAAATTAGAGAATTGATTCTGAGTGTACGGAGTACAGTCTATATTTTTTGTCAGTCAGGTGAATGGTGAAGGTGTGAGCTGGACTACACTCTCAAGCAATCTATTCATTCATGATAACAATGTCAGTAAAACTCTTCCTATCAGACACGTGGACAGGGACTGAAAGATTGGTGAGGACAGGTGGTCTTTTATGGTTTTGAATGTGAGGATATGTGTCTGGTGCTGGAGTTTCTGTTCTTTCATGAATGCATTAATTCAGACCTGTCTTTGTTACCGAGCACCTGGTATCATGTGTTACCCTGCCCATCACTATACTTTGTGACCCGTGAAGACCCGGGGTAGAATAGGTCTTCAGCAACCCATGCTTGCCGTAAAAGACGAGTATGCTTGTAAAAGGCGACTAACGGGATCGGGTGGTCAGACTCGCTGACTTGGTTGATGCATGTCATCAAACCCAATTGTGTGGATCGATGCTCATGATATCAATCACTGGATTGTCTGGTCCAGACTCGATTATTTACAGACCGCCGTCATCTAGCTGGAATATTGCTGATTGCGGCATTAAACATCAAACAAATAACTACAAAAAAACATAAAACCTATTAGAATAATTACTTTAAAGGCATTTAGAAGTGATACACAAAAGGAAAAGAATTTATTGATATCAACTTCTTTATTATGAGGAACACAATGTTTCGGAGTATATATGCTTACTTACTCTTTCATCAAGAGATCATCACCTGATGAAGGAGTTAGTATCTACTCCAAAACGTTGTGTTCCTCCTAATAAAGAAGGTGACATCAATAAATTCTCTTTCTTATTAGAATAATGTATGCAAACTTTGCAATGTCAAAAGTTTTAGCTCACCTTACCTTTTCTGGACTATTCGTAACATGAGATCAAGAAAGCATTCATGAATGTTGAACATTATATCGAAATCACAACTTACAGCCATCCAATTTACAAGGTTTCAGCTGTATAAATAGGTCTCATGTTGTAGCACAGGAACACACATTCTTGTGAAGACAACATAACTTGCTGTCAGCATTGTTATTCAAATATTTCTGCACAAATATTAAGGACTTACAGCCAAATATGACATAATATTCATGCAAAATCTATGCTTTGGCAGACATTTTATGGCCGCTTTTAGTAATATTCCAGCAATGTCACGGCGAGGGACACCAGAAATGGGCTTCACACATTGTACCCATGTTCGGGAATCGAACCCGGGTCTTTGGCGTGACAAGCGAACGCTTTAACCACTAGGCTACCCGACCGCTCCTTGAAAATATGATCAAGATCAAATTGAATTGCCATCATTGGTGGGAACAAGAATATCCAGTTTTGCACTGCTCATGTTAATAGTCCAGTGGGTTCCAAGATGTTCAAATACGACTACACTGACAACAGACAAAGCAGGCCATGATAAAAAGCTCACCTGAATTGACAGGTAAGCTAATAACTAATCGGCAATATTCCAGCTCTATGATGGCGGTCTGTAAATAATCGAGTCTGACAATCCAGTGATTCACATCATGAGCATCGATCCACTAATAACTAATGCCCTAGTCTCACATCAATGAGGAAGACTGATGAATGTGTTAACTAAGCTAGTTACCATGGTTACACTACAGTTTCAACAACAAAAGAGCGGATCAGATGATGAGTGAAATGATGAAGCTGTGTTATCATGGGGTTGATGAGATCACCAAGTTTATAAACAAAGCATAGAGAGAGAATCCAGTGACATCCAGAAATAAATGTGTTAAAATGCATCCACATCAATCATGGCAAGCCAGATTACCTCCATTGATAAGCTGAAAATAAAACATGGTTTCCATGACAACAAAGAAGTACAATATCAGTAAAAGAGAATACACTCAAGCCTCATCATAATGTCATCAATTTATCACCCTTTGTCTTACTTTCCTACGGTGGAACCGTGTTGACTGTAAATCCATTAAATTGATACATCGTTAAAGAGGATGTAGCTTTATCATCCAGACAAAACCTTTATTGAACCTCTTGTAAAAAATAACAACTTCATTTTCTCGAACTACAGTGGGTGAGTGGGTGAGTGAGTGAGCTGGGTTTGTTATATAGTGAGTTTGACGTTTCCTGATTCAAACTATCAATGTTGTTGATACATTTGCAGCCTAGTACAAAAATAGTGTTGAAACCCATCTAACATGGATTTGTGTTGTGTCATGTTGATTCATTGTACATTCTTTAGGAGAAAATACTCTGGAACCAGTTGTTACTGTAGCATCATTTCAGGATAGGTGTCAATATCAGCCTTCGAAATTCTTTCTTAAGACTAGTCCAGGGGACTAGGGTGAACCTATTTCACTTATCCTCAGAGTTTGTAGCTAATCCTGCTTGAACAAGACAAAGATGTATTCCATGTCTATCGCCATGACATTTTATGTCAGTTTTATACAGTTCAAATTTTTTCCAAATTTTATTTAGAATTATAGCCCTCAAATGCTACTAATCAATGAGGACGACAATCATTTGATTTTTACTGGTCCTCAGCATAACTAAATAGTCTCGGGCAAGAGGACGAGCGTGAATTTTGAAAACTGCCTTATGCTTCCAATGTTTCTATGGATTCTGAGATGGTACCGTCAAAACGGGTAGTGTCTATGGGGTCAGCCGTTACCATTACTCACCTTCTTGGTGTAGGAGGTCTGTACAGAGGCCATGGCGGTCAGTCTCTCCAGCAGGTAGCAGTAACACTTGCGTTCCTCCAGGAGAGCCTGCAATGTGTTCAGTGTCAGAGCTGTACATGACATCACAGTGACGCTTATATCACTACTATGAGACTGGCTGTTGGCTAGTTAATGACTGTTTAAAAAGACTTTTTCTGCTATGTCTGTTGGTTCAATGTAAACAATCAAAAAAAGTTAAGGACCACCAGATTCTTTCACATTACTATAGTAAATCATACCATGACTGACCAACTATAGTAATATGAAAGAATCGTGTGGTCCTGAACTACTTTTGAGAGTATACATCCTTATGGAATAGTCTAATTTGGGGTTGCTAACATGATTTCACATGATACAGGAATCCTGCGGATTTGACTTGATTTTCACCGACATGTTTATCATGTTTTTGATGAGTCTTAGTAGAGCCAATATGTATTTGATTCAGTTCCTAGTTCCAACGAACAGATCCAGTGCAATGTATCAGAAAATGTATATATTTTTTCATTATAACATCTTTCAGTCAACAGAATGTTTATCTATTCATGATGTTTTGTTGTCACTGTTTTGAAGACAAATGTTTGACTCATGCATGACTTTCTTAGTTGATCTCATGACTCTCAGAAGACTAGGCAGTGAGTCTTGGTGAGTCTTGGTGAGTCTTGGTGAGTCTTGGTGAGTCTCAGCAGGCAAAGTGTAAAACTCTGTCCAAGGGGCATAACTCCAGACCAATGTTTTAGGGCTGGGACAGGATACTCGGGTACCCGGGTCGGGTGGGTACTGAGTAGGACCCAGGTACCCACAGGACTACCCGGACCCATGGTTAGTCACGTGATATAATGTTTAATGACAAAAATTATCTTGAACTCTATGGTTACACTACAAATCACTAATGTTCACATTTCTTTCTGACTGTGCACCCATTCCTTCTGACTTTTCATATGGTTGAATAAAGATATAACTTATGTCAACTTCAGTGTATGCATGACGAGATCATTTAATACAGCAAGTGCTGAGGTAAAAAAATTCCCAATTGGACATTTTGTATCCCCTGAGACCTACAGTGGGTACCCGGGTAGGTTCGAGAAATGGGGGTGGGTACCCGGGTTGTAAATTTGGACTCGTCCCAGCCCTACAATATTTCACCATTACGGTTATTTGTTGATACAGTGAGTTAGTTTGGTTTAACACCGCTTCGAATAGTATTCCAGTCATATCACAGCTATAGATAACTTTCCAACTTACAAATACTGAGTATAACATTCAAATGATTGCCAGAACATAATAAAAATCTCAAAGGCACACATACTCATGAAATTATTTTTCATGTTTCATATAAATGTTTAAGGTTTGTAACAACTGAACAGATGTTTGTTTGTTGTTTATCGCCACACTTAGTAACGTTCCAGCTGTACGACAGCGGCCTGTAAATAATTGAGTCTGGACCAGACAAAGCAGTGATTGATTTCTTGACCAACGTTCAACATCATCAATATTCAATGATATCAACTCAACTAAGACAACTATTTTTTGTCCTCTACCGAATAGCATAGGTTGCTGGGGACCAATTCCAACCCAGAACCCCAATGGGCTGAAAGAATTTTGTAAACATTGCATACTGCATTATATATTATATTCAACTGTATCCTGTTTATGTGATGTTTGTGATGTGGAGATTAACTCTCCAGACATCGTGTGACACAATTCACTATGCGCAGGTTTCGTACTCACAAGCTTCAGGCCCTGTGTTCTGAACTCAGTCAGTTTTTCCTGGCATTTGGCAACAGCTCGCATATACTGGAAAACAACATTGATTCACAATTGTAAGAATTACAATCTATATTCAGACTTTAGTACAAAGCAGATTTCAACCAACTGTACATGATAGTTTTCTCATAATGCTAAGAAATATTTACTATGTTCACTACACAATCAGCATGATTAGAACATGTGGAATACATTTCTTTCCATAACACCAAGGAAGGCCAGACCAATCTATCTTCTTGTGTTGTGGACATGCACAGTTGCAAACAAAAATAAAGTAAAAAATCTTAATTCAACATACTGTGTCCCATTTAAAATAAGCTTAATTTTTTTATATTCTTGTTTGCATTACTGTTAAAACCTTCATTTTGAGAACTTATCTAAGGAAATGAAAACCAAAGAAACCTTGAAATATTTTCTTACATTTTCTTATTTGTCTTTTGGCATACTGCCCAAATAAATCCATTAAATGAGAAACACAACTGGTCTGGCCTAACAAAGTTTCATCAGATACATAGTTTCGTTTACTGCTTAACACCGCACTCACTAATATTCCAGCTATATGACGGCGGTCCGTAAATAACCGAATCTGGACCAGACAGTCCAGTGATTGATATCATGAGCATCGATCTACGCATTCAGGATACGATGACATGCATCAACCAAGTGAGTGAGCCTGACCACCCGATCTCATCAGTCACCTCTTAAGACAAGCATAGTCGCTTTTTACAGCAAGCATGGGTTGCTGAAGACCCATTCTTCACGGGTCCATCAGATACATAGAGACATGTAATTTGCCAACTCTTGCTTACATGTCAATGCCATATGTACGTAAGTATTTTCTAAAACGATTCTTACTCTTTGATTACTGGATTCTGTTCAGCTTCTACAATCTGCCCCTTCCTGAAGCTACTGAATTACACAAGGGCAAGCCCGGTGATTTTCCTACCTGTGCTTCCTTAGAGTCATCAAATGTAAATTTGGATTTGCTTTTCTTCCTGAACTTCTTGAGTGCTTCCTGTGCCTTGATGTAGGGGCCGATGTAGCCCTTGTGTCCGTGCTGGTACTTCTTGTGCTCGGCCTGCAGACAGAGAAAGTAGTTCCTGGATTCATACACTACACAAAAAAAGGTCTGCATCGTGTCAGTTGACGAAGCAGCACATACAGATGCTTGTTAAACCTAATGTCAACAAGTGACACAAGACAGTGAGCAGATAATGGACACTTACATAGGCATGCTTGAAGTCATTCTCCAGTCGGTGTTCCAGGGGCAGAATCACCTCAGAAAACAGAGCCTTTGTCTGAGAACAGAAAACTTATTGAGATCATCTTGTCATGGTTAATTATTAACATGACTGATTATCAAGGACACAGAGTATGCATGCAAGTTATAAAGCATCATTTGACTGCAGATGATAGATAAAGTAAATATACACTGAAAATCAACATCCAGAAAGCAATATGTACTCAAACATTAAAGATATAGTGATCATGTTTTTATATATATATCATGATATGGCCTCTCATTTATTGAAGATTTATAGTGATTTTTAGCGTTTGACATGCCCAAAGATGAGCCCTATAGGCCTTTTAAAGATTTTATGATTATGAAATTAATATTTGAAAGCTTAAATTCTGCCAAGAAAAGGTTTTGTCCATTAAACAAGTTGAATTGTCTGGTTATGGAGACATGTAGAAGATTGAGAGGGAGAGACAAATTGGGGGGCTACTTTCTCTGTGATCTCAATATACAAAAAAAAGGTGAAAGCTACCCTGGTCTACAGACTCTATCTCAACAAGAGATTCTTTGTCATGTTTGTGTACTACTATTTACAGCCACATTGTCCACATCGTAGTGTCCCGTTCCATGAATTAATTATTGACCATCTTAACCTGTGTCATACAGCTGTTGACATCCTTGGCCAGTCAGAGCATTCTCATGAGATATTTACTTTATTGAGAACACCAGGCCATCTCTTTGAGACATCATGGCATGAGAAGTGTTTTGGCACACACGAGTGTTGTTCTATCAAGGCTACAACACTCAAGGCCTCAGTAAAGCTTTCAAAATATTTATGGTGGACATGTGGAGGACATTTCTGAATTTGACACATCAACCACAAAAATGATGTCCGATCAAAATCCCTATTTTGACTTGTACCATATCTTCCCGTGATTGCTCAGGTGAACAATTGACTTGCCTTTGCATGTGTTTGTGACAGGTGCCACCGGTGGGGCAGGATACGTTCACCTTTTTACGAATACCTGGTATTATCACAATTTGGTAGTGATTCATAAACACATGCTTATGATATAGTCAGAATGGTACAATCAATTTGCTTTTAACAAAGATTTGTTAAGAATATGGAAAGGGCTTTGTTGCTTTTGTTTTATAGACTGGAGATGCTGTAGGATACTCACACACTCCTCTACTTTGGCATACATCTCTTTCTGTATGTCTGCCAGCTTCAGGATAGCGCCACCTGAAAAGTCACAATATGATCAGAGGGTTGTTCCTTACAAAGTTGAGCTGTTTCGAAGCGCTTAGTGTACAAAGGTCTAAAGTCTATATCTTGTTGTTCCTGTTAAAGTTCATCTTCCCAAGTCACGGCCATTAACTGACTATAAAAGTCCAGTTTCCACCCTTGCCGAACTGGGCTGGAATTCCGGGGCCTATGCATAGTCTACGAGTCTATGCATAGTCCAATCAAAATCATGGAACGAACCAGACATACAGTTCATAAGAATATGGATTCAATGTGCAGATTTTGGTTGACTGCAGAATTTGCAAAGCATGTGCACTATCAATTAGGCATCAACAGATATTTTGCAAATCTTTTCATGTTTTTAATCATGGTGCTCAAGTGATTTGATGCACTTCGCGAGGTAAGACCCGTTTTGTTACAATATAAATCTTGATTACTGATCAGACCATATTGACTGGGCACGCCATTTGTTTGAAGCAAATGCAAGTGATATGAGAGGTGGAATTTGATTGGTCAATAGGAGGGACATTTAAGGGACATAACTCGTAATAGCCACTGGTGGAGCTACGATCGAGTCTGTAAATTCCAGCCTAGTTCGACAAAGGTGGAAACTGGACTTTTATAGTCAGTTAACACCCTTGCCTCGGGAAGATGTCAAAGTTGAGATGTATCGTAGTAGTGTACAAAGGTAAACAATAAGTATCTGGTTGGCATACAAAGCGCTATACAGTGTAGCTAATAGAACGATCGATGATTGGCCATAGATAAGTTTGCAAAAGCATAGTCTTCAAAGGGCTCTATGTTGAGTGAACTTAGTCAGTGGAGGAGAAATAATGTGCCTGACAAAAATCTGAGTATGTCTGACACTGATTACAGACCCAACAAACAATAACAAAAAGATTCTCTAAATGCTTTAAAATGTCAAATGGTATTGCCCCATGTCTGTCACATGTATACAGTAGAACATGGATATAACTACAAGGGACTGGAGAAATCAGTTTGTTATATACGTTGTTCGTTATGCACGTTTTCCCTCGGAAACGTCCGCCATCTTGGATAAAACAAAACACAATACACATAATTGCAACATTGACTTGTATTAGCAGTGATCACTTCATTGCATTCAATTGATAATATTTCATAACATTCATTTAATAACATTAATTTCAAAACATTTTTAAAACCTTGTTTATCAAATATGTATTAAGCATTTTATAATTAACATACGGGGAGATTTTGCTCTGGCCTCGTTTTTCTGACTACATTCGTGAAACTTCAAAGGTTTAATGTTTGTTTTACAGACAAGAGTCCAATTACATGTACAGGTAAGATTAACATAAAGCAAGTTTAACAAGGTTGAATCATCAACGGTGATTGTGTTGATTCGCCGCTGATTGCATATGGCCAACTGACACTGAGTGAGATTTCTCAGTTCACTATACACAACACCAATTAGTGGTATTTGGGCTTGTCTGGGATCAGATAATCAGTTCGCTATTTACGTTAGTTCGCTGTAAGGGATTTTGTAATTGTCAGTGACATTTGACAATGAGTGAGATTTCTCAGTTCGCTATACACGACACGAATAAGTGGTGTTTGGGCTTGTCTGATATCAGTTCGCCATATACATTAGTTCACGGCAGAGAGTTTGTTATGTACGGAAATTTTATATGATAATGTAAAAGAGGTAAATCAGGGATTTTGTAACGGTTCATTGTATCCGTTTGTTTGTTATATCCGTGTTCTACTGTACATACTCCAAGTGAGTGAGTGAGTGAGTTCGGTTTTACGCAGCTTTTAGCAATATTCAAGCAATATCATGGCGGGGGACACCAGAAATGGGCTTCACACATTGTACCCATGTTGGGAATCGAACCCGGGTCTTCGGAGTGACGAGCTAACGCTTTAACCACTAGGCTACCCGACTGCCCCCCATACTCCAAGCCTTACCTATTTCATCTGTGCCCCCTTGGCCGTTCACCTGACAGGCATAGCCCACTTTGCCGATTGCCTCAATAAACGAGTGAGCTGATGACGTCATTCCTGCAAAATACAACATTATTACAAACATAACCATATTTCAATATCATAATCAGTGTTAAAAAATACCCATGAAAGTCAAGGGGTCTTGTCACAACCCTGATGTTAAGAGTTAAAGGGCCCCGGCATTAAATTCCGCAGGAGAGGATATCAAGGGCCCCCTTAATTTCAAACACTGTTACTCTATCAGCAATAAAGCATAAGAGATACCATGGTGACCACAAACATGTTCTGTTTAGCAGAATTTCTGCCTATAAAAGAACATACATATATATGTAGGTATGTTTCTTTGGTTATAAAATATACAGTGTTTTGCACAACACAAATACATGTGTCCAACTGCCCTGAACACAGAAAATACAAAAACTGTGTCAAAAGGTAAAGAAAAAAAAAACATTGTCCATTATGTACATGAAATTTAAGAATTAATTTCATCAGCCGTATCAAAAGTCCCAGTCTCGTAATGAACAGTATATTAACCATGTCATAGATAGGAAATCAAAGTTGGACATGTCATTGTGCAGTATGACTGAACCCTCACATTTCTAATCAGGACCTGAAAATTAAATTTAACAATTAAATTCAACTTTTAACAGTTAATCCCTGCTCACATATCCTGATTCCACATATGATATACAACTGGCTGTGTCAAGGTATAGATCTAGTTATGTCAACGACAGAAACTAACAGTTTTAATCAACATGTTGCAAAACCCTTAAAAATGGTAAATTTCTACTTGTCCTTATGAAACCTTAACTGTTGGGCAGTTTGGCAAGGATTATAGGACAGGTGCCAGTTTCTATTGCTGTATGGTAATTGTACTTTGTACTCAGTACAATCAGTCCTGTACAACATGGTTCAACACTAACCTGTAGTAACCCAACACCTTGTCATCTGTGTATAGTCAGTGAGTGATGTTTTACACCGCTTTTTAGCAATATTCCAGCAATATTACGGCGGGGGACTCAAGAAATTGTACCCATGTGAGGAATCGAACCCGGTTCTTCGGTGTGACAAGCAAATGCTTTAACCACGAGGCTACCCCACCACTACCTGTGTATAGTTAAGAGTCAATACCATTGGTCAAACATCATTAACTCAATGGTTAAAAGGTGAATGAAGGTGAATGAAGTCAATGAAATATTTCATCATCTACATGTAGATGTCAACAGTTACAACGGACACTGATACATTTATCACGTGTTCAAAAATCTTGGTAAGATTCTTTCATGTGTCGATCCAACTGATTGATAAAACAACATCACATCAAACAGAGATTTAGTGTGCCAAATAATTCAACATTTGTCGCAGAATTATCAAATAATGTTATCAGCACCCACACATACCAACAAGTGCCTTGTGGTAGGCTTTTCCAGCTGTTAAAATCTGGCGCACTCCATTATTGAAATTGCTGGTGATATTCTGAAAAAGAAAAAATATAAAACATAATAACGTGGTTCTTGGGCCTGAGAGAGATACAGAATACCATTTCCAAGAATGCTGGATGAGCAAACTTTCCTTGTGTTGACAGTATTATGAATGGTGTTAGAGATTACGAGTGGGAGAATTGAGAAACCCCGAAAACTTTTGCATATTTACATGCGGGCTAAGACAAGGCGTGGTATTCATTTGGGCTGGGATGAGTCCAAAATTTACTACCCGGGTACCCAACCCCCTATTACCCGACCCTACCCGGGTACACTGTAAGTCTCACGAGTTGGGGACAAAATGTCTGATTGGGAATTGTCTTACCGCAGCCCTGGCAAAAACCATTTACATTCATGTATCAATCGATCAGATCATGCATACATTGAAGTTGACTGAAGCTTTATCTTTACTCAAACATATACAAGTCAAAAGGAATGTGTGCATCGTCAGAAAGAAATGCAAACATTAGTGACTTGTAGTGTAACCACTGAGCTATAGTGAGTTTTTTCATCAAATAATATATCACGTGACTAACCACGGGTCCGGGTAGACATGTTGGTACCCGGGTCCTACTTAGGACCCATACGATACGAGTACCTGAGTTATCCACCAAGCCAAATATGTCATTTATATTTCATGCTGAATTTTGAACGATGCTAACCATGCTAACAGTTTAATAAATTCCAAGATTTTAGAGATGTTTCCTTATTCAACACAATGATCAGGAAAATATAATGTGACGATGTCGGGGGGTCAAAAGGGGCACTGCCCACATGTCAGAATGGACATGGGGGAGCGGAAAGTCTAAAAAGCCATGAATAACAGACATGAATTCAATTTTGTACATTATGAATACAATATATATAAACAAACATGATAAAGAAAACAATAGATTATGTTTTAGGTTGATGTCAGCCTAGATAACAAAAATATATATGTTTTCACTATTCAACAATATTTGTCTGTAGTAAAAACCACTGCCATTTTCACTTCCAACTATTTTTACCGTTAACATACCCTGGGGGTGTGGATTATTGCTCATAATATCAACCACTTGTTTGGCTGATCAAGGCTTTATTTTTTACCAATGTTTATAGTAGCTGTCATAACTGGAATATTGCTGAGTGTTATGTTAAACAAACAAAACTTTTTCTTTTTTCAGATTTTGCTTTCTACGGTGTTTTAACTTTCTCCCTCATCGGATGCTAGGGCTAGAGTTCTTACTCTGCTCTTTCTGAGTATAATATTACCATTCACCACGTTGATCCAGAAAATAACCTAGAAATAATTCTTCAACATGTTTAATCTAGATATCATAACTTTTAAAAACAACTATTTCATTATGTTTGAATCATTGCAAAATTGGTTCACATTGGGGAGGTGGACTTGGGCAAGAAGTCATTGCAGTTTCTTGTGTCAATCTAAATTTTTTTTAAAAAGCCACCATGGCAATCAATAATGAAAACATGCAGTGGAACAATATACCATATATGATTTATTTTAAACAGAATATATCGATAACAAGTTGATCGCAACTCGTGAAAGTGGGTCAAGCATGATTTTGTTTGTTTTTCTTCATTTTAAACATCTGTAAAATATGTTCATTTTGAGGTGTGAAAACACACCTGTTGCAAGGGATCTGGGTCAAATTCAGTTTCAAATATGATGAAAAGTAAATAAATTCACCTTATATATTGCTTCTGTGACTTTGTGAGTGTCCTCAGGGTTCCACATTTTCGTTTTGATCGTTGTTGTCAATTTCCGCTGTGACAGGTGAGTTATTGGCCAGGGCTCAAGATTTTCGTCAGGTGGGAGACGTCGCACACATTCGTCAATCAAAAATCTTGGAGTTGCTTCGATTTTCTGTTACAGAATGCATCCGAGTAAGAAAAACAGTTAGTTGTAGCGTTGTTTTGACACAAACTGACCACTATCTGTCATTATCTGCTTATTGATATCAACTCCACCAAACTGACTTCGGGCACCACCCAAACTAGGGACTGGTTATTGTGAAAAGATGGCAACATGTTTTAAAGTTGTTATTATCGTTTAACAGGTAATTACACAGCAAAACATTGACACATGACATACAATAATTGTAAATGTTTTTTCGTAAGTTATATCGCTGCAGCTTATTGGCGTATTAAAGAATCCACACGAACTGTAAAAACCAAATTAATGATACCCCCCGATCGATTGGCTTATCGCCTTTTGACTCGCTTGCGGAAGTCAAAGAAGCGCACGTATAATGCTTTGAAATTGCACTGCAATATTTGTGGGTTGGCTTTCGTGTGAAGTGCGAGACAGTTTGAAGAGCGTGGTGGGAGCAGGGTTTTAGCAACAGTTCACGTCGTGAGACGGAAATGAACTTCACACATTGTACCCACGTTGGGAATCAAGACCGGACCTTCAGCGTGACGAGAGAACACTTTAACCACCAGACTACCCCACCTCCCTTGAATAACTGTAATTCACCAATAGCTTTAATATTTTAGATGACAATTGTCTGCTGTCTGATAATTTATTCAATTATCAAAATCGTTCCCATTTATTCACTCATTGTAGATATATTCACTTACTTCCCTATAGTTAGATTCACATGTACCAACATCATAGAGTTCAAATCTGTTTTTGTCATTTGCACTGTCATGTGCGGCTACCACACATAATTAAACACTATCTAACTGCTGATGTCGTTTCACCATAGCGATATATTCATAACCTAAATCTTAATTTAACACAATACAACCAACATACATGCTCCAGATCTAAAAAGCAAACAAAGCCTTGAAAACACAAGTGTGTTATCTTTTTTGTGTGCTTAGCGGTCCCTTGTTAACTTGATGTCCAAAAAGGAAACTTTAAATTTGTTTAGTACGCAAGAAACACACATTTTAACTTCCCTTCGAGAGCGTTCATAAAACACAGCAGCTGATTTACAGGAGTGTACAGTAAATCTCCTAAATAATGATTGGGCCTAAAAGTGTCTGCAATACCCCACACTTTGCTTATGTCCCCGCGATCTTTGAATACTGCTTTGACACGATTATATTGCTATACTACTCAAAAGAAGGTAATAAACACCCGATTCTTTTATATTACAGTAAACTACGGTTATAACGAACTCAAAGGGACCACTAATTTTAGTTCGTTGTAGCCGTGGTTCGTATATGCATACATACAGCATAACTACAGCAAATAGTCGGGACAAAAAAAGTAAGTTCGTTATATCCGTCAGTTCGTTATAAGCGTGTTCGTTATAACCGTAGTTTACTGTACTATAATCGTTTTGGAACTGAGTCATGACAATTAAGAAGATGTAAAATGGGATATTTTTGTGTTTGTTGCTTAACACCGCACTCCGCAATATTCCAGCTATATGACGTGACGGCGGTCTGTAAATAATCGAGTCTGGACCAGACAATCCAGTGATTGCTATTGCGAGCGATCCCCGCCGTCGGGTTTAGGATAGCATGCATCAACCAAGTCACCCAGTAAGTGAGTATGGTTTTACGCCGCTTTTAGCAATATTCCAGCAATATCACGGCGGGGGACACCAGAAATGGGCTTCACACATTGTACCCATGTCGGGAATCGAACCCGGGTCTTCGGCGTGACGAGCGAACGCTTTAACCACTAGGCTACCCGACCGCCCTCACCCAGCCAGAACACCCGATCAATTTGGTCGCCGCTTATGACCAGCTTTGGTTCCTGGAGACCAATTATAACCCGGAATCCCCACATGGGTCCTATAACCACGAGACTTTCATCCGATTAACTACGGTAAACCCATCTTCCCGTTCCGTGAATACTTAGTCCCTTATGCATACGTCATGACCCAACAATCGTATAAAACAATGACTCTCCAGCCCCGGCGTGTCTACTAACTACAGTTGTATCAACGCTCCGTGCGTGACACTCGACCTAATCCAGGTGCGACAAAGGATGTAATTTCGTGACTAAGAATATACCAAGTAGACTTTACACAATCATGTTTGTCTGATGTGACTCATGCACGAGCTTTCCGCAATCCCTTTAGAATGAACACGCCGAGGTATGTTATTCACCCCGTGTTACTTATCCTCATATGAGGGGCGGTCGGGTAGCCTAGTGGTTAAAGCGTTCGCTCGTCACGCCGATGACCCGGGTTCGATTCCCGACATGGGTACAATGTGTGAAGCTCATTTCTGGTGTCCCCCGCCGTGATATTGCTGGAATATTGCTAAAAGCGGCGTAAAACCATACTCACTCACGTTCCTCATGTAAAACAAACTATTGGATTTACCCGTTAAATCGCCGCGTCATTGTATATTTGTTTCCAATTTCCGTCGTTATGTTATCAGTTATGATTGGAAAGATAAAACCTTTCACGAATAAAAGAATATTGATCAACACATACGTAATACATTTTTGTCACAGTATGTAATAAAACATTAATTGTATACAAAACTAAAGTCTGTTTGATAGGGCAGCGAGAAAAATAAGATAATACATACGTAACGGTTAGCCTATGTTATGTTGACAACTTAATTAGTCCCTCGTATATAACAAGTGTAACATCATAATTAATCCTATTCCCTCATATGTAATAAGTATAACACCATACTTAGTTTTATTCCGTCGTATGTAACAAGTGTAACATCATAATTAATCCTATTCCCTCGTATGTAATAAGTATAACACCATACTTAGTTCTATTCCCTCGTATATAACAAGTGTAACATCATAATTAATCCTATTCCCTCATATGTAATAAGTATAACACCATACTTAGTTCTATTCCCTCGTATATAACAAGTGTAACATCATAATTAATCCTATTCCCTCATATGTAACAAGTGTAACACCATACTTAGTTCTATTCCATCGTATGTAACAATTGTAACACCATACTTAGTTCTATTCCGTCGTATGTAACAAATGTAACACCATACTTAGTTCTATTCCCTCGTATGTAACAAGTGCAACACCATACTTAGTTCCATTCAATCGTATGAAACAAATGTAACACCATACTTAGTTCAATTCCTTCGTATGTAACAAATGTAACACCATACTTAGTTCAATTCCTTCGTTTGTAACAAATGTAACACCATATCAATTCCCTCGTATGTAACAAATGTAACACCATACTTAGTTCTATTCCCTCGTATGTAACAAGTGTAACACCATACTTAGTTCAGTTCCTTCGTATGTAACAAGTGTAACACCATACTTAGTTCAATTCCCTCGTATGTAGCAAGTGTAACACCATACTTAGTTCAATTCCTTCGTATGTAACAAGTGTAACACCATACTTAGTTCTATTCCCTTGTATGTAACAAATGTAACACCATACTTAGTTCAATTCCTTCGTAAGTAACAAATGTAACACCATACTTAGTTCAATTCCTTCGTATGTAACAAATGTAACACCATACTTAGTTCAATTCCTTCGTATGTAACAAGTGTAACACAATACTTAGTTCTATTCCCTTGTATGTAACAAATGCAACACCATACTTAGTTCTATTCCCTTGTATGTAACAAATGTAACACCATACTTAGTTCAATTCCTTCGTATGTAACAAGTGTAACACCATACTTAGTTCTATTCCTTCGTATGTAACAAGTGTGACACCATACTTAGTTCTATTCCTTCGTATGTAACAAGTGTAACACCATACTTAGTTCTATTCCCTTGTATGTAACAAATGTAACACCATACTTAGTTCAATTCCTTCGTATGTAACAAATGTAACACCATACTTATTTCTATTCCCTTGTATGTAACAAATGTAACACCATACTTAGTTCAATTACTTCGTATGTAACAAATGTAACACCATACTTAGTTCTATTCCCTCGCATGTCAAAAAGTCAAAGGGCTGGTCAAAAAGTTCTGAGCCTAACAAACAAAACCAACAATTGTGAAAGTGTTGTTAATTTTATTTTTCAACATAATCTCCCTTCTTTTCAATACACTTCTCATATCGATAGTGAAGCTTTTCAATTCCAATCAAGAAGTTTTCAGAAGCTACCCTGAAATACCCATTCACGACAGCTTTGATGTCATCGTTGTCGTCATATCGCTTTCCACGAAGGTGTTCTTTCAGTTTAGAAAACAGGTTGAAATCCCTTCGTGTCAGGTCTGGCGAGTATGGAGGGTGAGGAAGCTCGCCGACCCCACATTGTCGCACAACAGCCTTTGCAAGTCGAGAGTTGTGAGGAGAGGCATTGTCATGAAGTAGTAGAACTCCAGGAGTCAGCATTACCCGCCTTTTTTCTTTGATAGAATCTATCAGTCGATGAAGCAAATCATCATAGTAGGCACCGGTAATCGTCTTTTGACCTTCAAAGTAATCAACAAGGATCACACCCTTTGCATCCCAGAATACAGTGGCCATAACTTCCTTCACTGATCTTGAAGACTTGAAATTCTTTGGTGACGGAGAAGTGGAATTGTGCCAGCCTTAAACATAGCTGCCCAACGTTTAACAATAGAATAGTTGGGGCACTTATCCCCATACACTTGTGACATGTGGTCATGAATTTCTGAGGGGAGTACTTTTCTCTGAAGTAAAAAACTTGATGACTGTTCGGTACTCGTCTCTTTTCCATTTCTGTGTCCATTTGGACCCCTATCACGTTCAACTGGCTGTTACTAATATACAAACGTCCTCAGCAGACCAAATACACTTGCAATGAACTACTCAAACAATGTACTATACTGACTTGTTCACTTTGTTATGGCCCATAGTTGAAAGTTAGTCAGGCTTAGAACCAGCTTTTTGACCAGCCCTCGGTTTTTTTACCATACCTTGTCCTTTTGCCTCGTATGTCATTTACGTGTAACAGTATTATTAGTCCCATTCCATGGTACGTCATTTCAGTTTAAAGTCATAATTAGTCCTATTCACTCGTATGTAATAAATGTAACACCATACTCAGTCCTATTCCATCGTATGTCATTTAAGTGTAAAGTCATATAATCAGCCCCTGTCCCTCGTATGTCAT